AATTAACCTTAGGAAAAATAAGGGAACAAAAGTATATATAGTAAAAGTCTCTTATTTTTCCTAAGGTTAATTCTTAACATATAAACATAAAACTTTTTGTAAACTATTCTATTATACTTCTATATAATTTAGGAATACAGTTTGAGCTTGAAAAAAAATTATTAAGTATAGAAGGAACTGAGGGAAAATAGCTAGTTTTACACATTTTAGTCTCTCCTCAGTCAAACAGAACAAGTACATAAATCACAGTAAATTAGGTATATTTATTAAGTACTAATGTATGTAACTATAATAAACTGTTTTCTAAGCTTATATGTTGAGTTTTGAAGGAATGAAAATTCAAATATTAAGAAAACATGAAAAACAGTGTATTTTCACTATAACTCAGTCAAATCTTGCTCAAATTTAATAATTAAAGTGTCTATTTGAAGCATATTTAAAAAACATAAATTTATGTCAAATAATCACTGAATTCTGTACAGAATTGAGTGAGAAATAGCTATTTTTTTGTTTTGTTTACTTTTGTAACAAAAAATAATAAATTATCAAGTGTGACAATACTTATGAAAAAGGCAGTAACACATTTACACTCTTACAATCTATCTTAATATTTTTTACAACATTCTTAATTTTTATTATAGACTTAGTCTCTTACTCTTACTCTCTTTATTATTTTCTTTATTAAATCTATTTTAATAACCTTTTATAACATTCTTAATTCTATTCTAGTCTTAGTCTGTTACTCTTTCTCTTTCTCTTTCCTTTTTTTATACACTTGTGTATTTACATACTATAAGTCTTTTCTAAGTAAGAAAGAGTATAGCTTTTTTAAAGTTATATATATTCTATACTCTTATTAATTTATAATTTTAATTAATTGTTTGTTTTAACAAATAGTTATAAGAATAATAATTCTAAACTGTGTATATTTAATAAGTCTGAGAAAACTTCTTATATTATAACAAACAAAGACAAACAATACCTGGATATAATAGTAAGTAGTAAGTAGTACTTGGTTGTAAACTTTCTTACTAATTGTTTTACTTATAGTAAGTTTTCTAGTTAGATCTAATCTAATACATAAGTAATTAATAAAATAATAAATAGGTATATAAACAGGACTGTTTTTAATGATAGATGCTAGAGACATTTGATTTGACCCATCAGTACAATTGTAATTAAAAAATTCTTACATTCAACCTGTAAGCAAAGTATGTATTACTAACTACACAAATTACTAGAGACAGTGTTCAGGAATTACTTAAGGAAAATAAGAATTAACACAAATCAACACAACTGTAGTGTGTAATATGTCTGACTATCCTAAGCAAGTGAGCTTGTACAAGGGATCCGAGCTTGAGGACTCAAAGTCGCTCAATTCATTTGATTTTGAAGGCATTAGTGTTTTGCTTAATAGAACTTTAATGAACCGGGAATGTAGCAAAACGCTCTAGTAGTCCAGTGGAATGAAAAAAGTTATCCAGCCAGACATATTCATTATTCCTATTCCTCTACAAGAAAAACATAGATCCGTAGACTTGTCAGGCATCCGTAACACACCCATGACTCGCATCCGATACAGTCTTGATATACCTATACAATGTACCCTGTCGAGCCTTCAATGGCGGCTCTTTCCACTCCTCTCTCCTCTTCTCAAGCTCCTCTTCACTAATATCCAACTCAAGTGTATTCTTCACCGCGTCAATACGAATAGTATCACCGTCTTTTACAAGTGCGATCGGTCCGCCGTCCTGTGCCTCAGGTACGACATGACCAATGACGAATCCGTGCGATCCTCCACTGAACCGTCCATCCGTAAGACAAGCAACGTCCTGTCCTAGTCCCGCGCCCATAATCAAACTGGTAGGTTTAAGCATCTCAGGCATGCCAGGTCCACCTTTCGGGCCAAGGTATCTTAACACCACGACGGTTTTCTCGCCCTTCTTGAATGACCCACTCTCCACAGCGTGTATGAAATCCTCCTCGTTATCGAAGGCACGGGCTTTACCTGTGAAAGTGAGTCCTTCCTTCCCTGTGATCTTCGCGACCGCACCGCCTGGAGCGAGGTTGCCGCGTAAGATACGGATGTGTCCGGTGGGTTTGATGGCTTTATCTAGGGGACGGATGACGTCTTGGGTCGTGAAGGAGAGTTCTCCGTGTTTTTGCGTCCAGCGATCGAGGTTCTCGCCCAGCGTTTTTCCGGTTACAGTTAATGTGTTTCCGTTGACCAGGTTGTTTCTGAGTAGGTATGACAGAATTGCTGCGAAAAAGGGAGAAATTATTCAGTCATTCGAAGGGGAAAAAAAGAAATAGTCAAGATAAAGATACTTACTTGGGGTACCGCCGATTCTGTGTACGTCCTCCATCACGTACTTTCCACTAGGCTTCAAGTCAGCGATGAAAGGAATTCGGTCCGAAACGGCTTGGAAATCGTCAATCGTGAGCCGTACGCCCACAGACGCAGCAACAGCGATGAGGTGAAGAACAGCATTAGTCGAACCACCAAGGATCATCACAAGCACCATAGCATTCTCAAACGCTTCTCTCGTCATGATATCCCGCGGTAATATATTCTTCTCCAGCAAATTGCGCATCACTGCGCCGATAGAGTCGCATTCAGCGTGTTTCTCGGGATACTCGGCCGGGAAGGAAGAGGATCCAGGTAGGGTCATCCCAAGAGCTTCTGCGGAGCTTGCCATTGTGTTGGCCGTGTACATTCCGCCGCAGGCTCCTGGGCCCGGACAGGCATAACGGACGGTGTTGGAGCGGAATTCTTCGGCTGAGGTGGTGCGTCCGTCGGCTAAGTATTTTCCGTAGGATTGGAATGCGGAGACGATGTCGAGCTGAGGTTGGCCGGCGCATGAACCAGGACGAATTGTCCCTCCGTAGACCATCAGACCAGGTCGATTCAGTCGGCCAACTGTTGTAATTTCATTCAGTCCGTTGACTTGATAATAGCAGATTATGGTATCACTTACGAGCCATGAGAACACCAGGCATGTTCTTGTCACATCCTGGAACAACGACCATGCCGTCGAGCCAATGTCCACCGCCAGCAGTTTCGACGGCATCGGCTATGAGGTCGCGCGATTGAAGCGAGTAGCTCATCCCGCGCGTTCCCATACTGATACCGTCGCTCACGCCGACAGTGCCAAATTGGTAGGCTATAAGACCTGCGTCGACCAATGATTTTTTGACGCGCTGTCCGAGACCGAGGAGATGTTTGTTGCATCTTGGAAGTTGAAGTTAGGACGGAATGGTTTGATGTGGAGGTTATGTTGGAAGTCGTACGGGTTACCTTCATACCTAACCGAAAGTCAGGTTCGAATGTATGAGCAGCAGTTAAAAGAAAAACATACATACCAGACACTTGCGATGCCAACCATAGCTTTCTCGAGGTCTTCTAGAGAACTTACACCATCTGTCGCGTATAACATAGCCTATACAAGTATTTTCATGAATTATTTTATGTCATGTCGATTGTTCACAATGTACAGACCTAGCATTTCTTCGTAAATGGGTTACAGTGACAAGATGCCTTAAATTCAATACCTGACTAGCACCTTGGTCTTTTGGTTGAGTGACCGTCCGACTATATCGGTTCAGAATGGGCTTTTCGTTGCGCGAACATGTTGAAGAGCTAAGCGTTCTTCGAGTAGTCCTTTGCACCACCCTTTTAGACAGACGCGTCGAGCAGATAGCAAGCGTCATTTTCCTTTTTTCTGTATGCGTATAGAACCTTAGGCTCTGGATAGAGCAGCACTCGTTCGAGGACGAGAAACGAGTCAGAGGCCGAAAGTACCGAAAGCAAATTCTGGCAGTTTTATTGGTCACAATATGATTGCCTGTTATGGAGATCGACGATCAACAACGTGGGTACTGCAAGGTTTGGCATGACTTGAACATTAACTACAACAGCCATGGAAAGCCTTCGCAAGAGAGTTCCATTCAAGTCTGACACAGAGGGAGACACTGGTGAAGATACTAGAATACTTGACGAACAAGGTACATATAGTACTAAAATACTTCTCGTGTTCGAGACTGACGTTTATCATAGAGCAAGATGAATTAATTGCTGAGTTCCGTGGAAAGGCGGAAAGTATGGACAAACGAATATATCGTCAAGCACAGATCTACACAGGGATATCTTGCTTATTGTATGTTTCCGACCATATGATTTTTGATCTGCAACGGAAATCGATACAGCATTTTCAGACATACTATATTCTTCTTCCGACCATCGCTGCTGGACGAAACTCCTATTATGTTCGCACGATTATTTGCCCTTGTCAATGTGCTGGTGCATGTCAACCTTTTACTACTTCTGACCCCTTCGCTGGATACCCCTGTGCACCAGCTTGCAAAGGAGACGCCGCATCTCCCACTTTCGCCCATACGGACCCTTTGTGTTGCGGGTGCTGCACCAATATTCTCCCTGATATCGCGCAGAGGCTGGCAACAGACCTCATGGTGGAGTGTGGCATTTGTTATAACCCTACTTGTCTGGGTCATGCAGCAGTCAATCCAGGAAAACAAAGCGAGCCTGGAGAACCTGGAGAAACTGAAATATGATGCTAAAGGAGCCTGAGCAGGTGGCGTGTCCCTTGCTGTATTTGTAGTTTAGATCAGCGGCGGCCCTTACGGCATTCCGAGTGTACGGCATTGTTTTACGTCACGAAGAAGGAATCTACGTTACAGATTCACTCACTGGATTACAACAGATTGAGAGGTTACAGTGATTAGACAAGAATACTGGATGAAATATTGCGGGGATAGAATACGCAGTTAGACGAAGATCAGAGTATAGTTAAGGTGCGTTGAGTGTAAGAATTAAGAGGAAAATAAATGAGAAAATAAAAAGCAATTGCAAATAGCCCGGAGATACGGTTGTGGTAGTGGTAGTGGTAATTTTAGAGAAATGAACGGCGAACTCGACGTCGGTTGCCACGCGGAGGCGGCGTCCTCCCTTCAGCCCTCCTCCACCTCCCCGACTCTCCTCTCCCCGTCATGTCGCACAGATATCCCCCACTGTCATCGATGTCGGGTACTGCCCGACCGTCCTGACTCGACGATCTCGCCCTCTTCCACCTCTCGCCCTTGGTTTTCGTCACTTGCCGTCCTCGAGCGTTTCGTCCACCGCCGACGCAAAGACTGTCTCCCCGACTCTCCGTCACTTGAGCTAGGACCACTCGAGTATAGACTTGCTGTCCGCATTGGCGTCGACCCAGAGGTCCGCGTACCGACTGCGCTCGCACCTGAGTCGGAGACGCTGATGTTCATATCTGCGCGAGGGAAAGGGAGCTCTCGTGCTGCCATGGGCGGCGAGTGTCTTGGCATGAACAATTCGCCTTCAAACGGCGCATTGGGATTATAATTTGGATACTGATTTGGGGGATACTGTTCGGGCGGGTAAAGGGACAGCTGCAGCCCAGAGGGAAAAGGTGAAAAGTTCGCTCCAGAGAGCGTTGGAGGTTGCGCAAGAGGACGAGGAGACAAGGGACGTTGAAGTGGCGAAGGTAGATGGAGGTCTCCGGACGCTTGTTGGTAACGTTGTGATGGGCTTTCGTGCTGAAGTCCGCTTGCTGAGGCCTGAGGCTGAAGACTTGCTTGCGACTGGAATGCACTTGTCATCTGTGTCTCTGGACTTGCGGCTTCTTCTGTCTCACTTCCTTGATCCTTGGTCTTGCCCTTCCCTTGCTTCTTGTCCCCTTCGATCTTCTTGTTGGAATTTTTCGGCCTGGTATCCATTGCCTTTTGCTTCTTTCCCGGGCCACGCCGGCGAACAACTGGAATATAAGAACATGCTACGTTCTTCCTTTGACAATTTCTACAAGTCGGACGCAAACCATCGCACTTCATTTTCCGCCCTGTTTGGCCAACGGAAATAAAAGATCAACAGTCAAGACGAAACTTGTTTATGAAATTTGGTAAAGACTCACTTCTACAGAAATCGCAGGCCACTTCGATTTTAGTTCGTGGTGCGCGAGAACCTCCCGCTGAACCTGTTCTTGCAGTTTCCGATCCAATAGCAAATTGTGGTTTCCCATCATCGTCGGTCGTCTCCAGTTCGTCTACAACGCTCGCGCCGCTGCTCTTAGACTCGCCTGCCATCCCTCCGTCGTCTCTTCCTTTCCCTTTACTTGCCAAGCTCTGAGGAAAATTCGACGGGCCAGCAGTAGGCTGTGCCGCATAGGCTTTTCCAGGCGTACCCATTGGTTGTGGAAAGACAGGCGATTCGCCTGTACGTCGAGGAGCAGGAGCAAGTACACTCGAAGGAGCTGTTGGTTGTCCTCTTGAAAGAACATTAAGTTCCGAGGCATGTGTCGCCGGCTGGCGACCCCAGAAAGCTGGTGTTTCAGAACTACTTCGCGACTCTTGCCCTGGCGCGGAATCAGATGGAGATGGAGGGATTATGGCCTTTTTTCCACGTCCACGTCCTCGGCCGCGGCCCACCCCGCTTCTCCTGTCCCCCTCTGCTAAAGAGCCGGATACTGGTAAAGACGAGCTAGACGGACCAGCAATACGATTTAACATCGTTGATGAATCGGGTTCGTAGCGCTCTACGCTTGCTGATCGCGACTGCTCTGCCTTTGGTGAGCATGCAACAGGGACGGGAACAGGTAGCGGATAAGATGGATGGTGGGGAGACGTGCGCATATCTTGCGCATCTGGAATGTATGTGTACCGACTCGGTACACTGCCAGTATGCTCTGGTCTGTTTCTTTCCCGCGCTGCAAAAGGCGTAGAGAATGGAAAAGGTCCTGTTTGACTGTCTGCATGCCCTGAATGGAGCAGGAAATCTTCACGACGCACCACCTCCGGCGCGCTCTGTGTGCTTGGCAGTGTTTGTGCTCCGAGTGGTAATCGTGGCGAAGATGACAGAGACGAAAGACTATGTCTTTGCCCAGGCACATGTCGAGCTTCTAATGGCCCATGGTACTGAGGAATCCGTTGCAATGCTGATGAAGTTGACGCGGAAGAATGGTGGACAGGTAATCGCGCACCAAGACTCGGCTCTCGTGGAGCAGCCCTCATTGGGTCGCGACTTCCCGATGCCTCATGTCCCTGATACGATCGGTCACGCTCAGCGCTCGTTGTCGGAAGGGTGTGGCTTCTGTATGGTGGTGCGGCAGACATGCTATGGATTGAGTCGTACTGACCTTCGGGTGGTATTCCCGGCGGATCATCCGTGTATAAAGTTTTATCTTCGTATTCCGGACGAGGGACTATTTCACAATTGATTGATTCAAAACGCAAAGTCAGCTTCCAGACAATGAACATACTCACTATTCGGATATAGCGAAGAATACCGTGGGAGGGACGTGGAGGACAAGCTTCGCGGCGGCAGCGGAAGAGATGGGAGCTCTTCGCGGAAAGATCCATCGCTCGGAGAAGGAAGCGTACGCCGAATGTCTACCTCGTCCGACGACGGCTTGTCTTGAAGATACTTATGAAGGGATTCCGGCAATGAGCTGCGAGGCTGCGATGGATCATCTGGGCTGTCTCGGAGGGAGGCATGGGAGGATCGCGGCTGCTGACCGCTCATCGCTTAAGCCGTGCGAGAGAAGTCGGTAGCGGGGGCGACTAGGCGGTCGGGAGTAGAGAGGATGGGCGGAAGCTACAGCGCCAACTGAATCCAGCGGTGGATGCAAATTTAACGAGCCCGGGTTCGGAAAAAAGACACTGAAAAAAGGTGGCGGTGGATTGGCAGCGGCCTAGGGCCACCAGGTGACCACTCGAGGTCGTTCCAAGTAGCCGCAGTTTGCGACTCAATCCACCAGGGCGAATCCCGAGATCGCGCAAGAAAAAGGAGGCAAAAGAGGAGATGGACGTGGCGAGAGCCGGACGAATGGATGGACGGACTCCTGTGACAGAACGTATCGTTCGGGTGCCCGGGCTGTTGTGCAACCTGTTCATAAGGTTTGCTTCCGTTGAGCTGACATTGGCTGCCTGCTTAGTGTGAGCCCCCCTCGTGTCAGCCGCGTTCAAACAACATCGATTAAAATGTGATTCAAGCGTCTGGACGAAGAATATTCCCGAGCTTCAGGTGTGGACGATGCAGATCGTCCTCCATGGAGACAGGCAGCGAAATGGCGCGTTCGAGGCGACAACAGGACCGTCCGAAATCGGTGTTAGTGTTCAGCTCACCCTTCCCCGCCACCATCTCGTTGGGTCTGAACTGCCTTCTGCAGTATCGATCCTTTCTCCTTTTGTCTTCCCTTCGTGCAAAGTCAAAAATTCTACTCTACGGGGCCGAGAGGATCAACGTAAGTTGTCGATCCTTTCCTTATTATTAGACGGAGAACTTTTATGAATGAACAACATAAATAGCCCCAGGAGAAGCGCCCGAGATCAACGTGTAATGCCAGCGCTTATGTATTTGTCGTCCTTCAAAGGACGGATTGTACATCGTACTTTTGTCGTGTAGAATTCGCAAACAAAAATCCGTTGTAACCCAAAGCACTGCTCCAAGGAACATTTCTATTAACCCCTCTTTTACGGTTGATAGTATATGATTCTCCCTGTCCCGCGCCAGATCTGAGACAAGATACTCCACTGTGGCTGACATCCCGCCTCCTCCTTACGCGGGATGTGCTGTGTGTGCCTCGTGTAACGATCTCGAGCACTGTGTGCGTGCATCGGCTGATACCAAAGCATTATGGGGTTGTCCATGTTGATCCGGATCGGTGTTTAAGCACAAGATCGTTTCTGAGACATCCCACTATCATTCCGAAAAATTTCTTCCTTCCTGATCGTAAATGAGAGACAAAATGGGAAGGGGTGGTTAAATGAACTCAGGGACAAAGAGAAGAAGTGAGTAATGGGGATTATGTCAAGGGAGAGAGATTTGTCCATCTTTATGTGAATTTTAACGGAATTGGTTACAGAATTTGAACCCTTCAATGTTTTCAGCGCATTAATCCGCCTTGTCGGGATTAATATTTGCTTCCAGAAAGGAAGTTATGATTTATCTCCGTAGACCACGTTGTTTAATATGCTTCCTGAAATGTTGTAACAGGAAGGTACATTCCGAGACGAGGTGGAATTTCTAGTTGTCAACGACGTAGAACGAGACAGCCATTACCTGTGTTGTTCTACCTCAAGCCGACTTCAATGTTCATCCAATGGAAACCTGGACTAATAGACATCCTTGCCATTCTATCAGTCAAAACCTTTTCGCATTACTTAGGATCGTGAATCTCAAGTGTACAAGAAACGGAAAGGATGAGATTGATATCATCAAACGTCCCAGCTTTCCAAAACGAAACTCGAAGGATATGTATTCCGAGCACGGACCGGAGCGAACACGGAATATCTCTGTTACCCGCGTGCAGTGTGCGTACTATCATTCAACGGATACAGAGTACCATATTCGGCTGGTGTCCCTTCGTTGCTTTTCTGCATTTCTGATCTCGTTGACGCACATCGGGATCTTTGCAGAATCCCCGAAAAGTATCGAGGTAAGGAACGCGAGTGCTGTCCTTGGTCTCGGGTTGTATCATATCTGGCCAGGTGCATTATTCACTAGGATACCAAGGCTTAGCAAAGTGTTCGTTGCGTCCGGCAAGGATGGTGGGTTTTGGTAAGGCGAAAGACGTTTGCATGTACATTTGGGTAAATGGGCGAAGGATCGGGGAAGCTATGCGATTCGGACGTGGGGGCAGATCATATGATAAATCTATATCAGTAAGAAGACGCTTTCGAAAGGAGTTGAGTAGGAATTTGGGCAAGTCGGTTTGCTAACGGGAGATACCACCCGTCATTAAACAAATTCGGAGCCAAACCAAACGTCTCTATGGCAGGTCAATCAAACTCGTCAATCGCCTACGTGATTTAGCTCTGTGGCGGTTTATCTAGAGAGGTTCGTACGGATATTTCCGAAGGGCACGCGGAAAACATGCATCGCTGGGCTCGCATATGCATCCACTTTCATCTAATGGTCTTAACGTGTTACTTAAATTGGTAGTAACGGCGGTGAATACCGAAGGCTATGAACTTTCGCGGGAAGTGTCCCGAGGTGAGTAACTGCGTTCGCAGATTGCCGGCTTCATTGTATCCTTACCAGGGCTTTATTCCTCTGGAGTATCGCCTTGTAAGTCGAATCGCTAAGCCGCTAATATAGTTTATAAGAGAAGGAAGCATCTGTGCATCTGTGCAACAGATTCTGTTTGTACTGTCCGGAATTACAGTTAGATTTCTAAAAAGTTATGTAACAGTCGTCCTTTTCTACAGTAACAGCATCCGTTAGCACGTCAACGATTCATAGCTTCCGCTTATTCCCTTCGGACCAGATGCCCCAACTCGACTTGATAAGCTGCTTTATCTCGTACCTAGACCAAGTACTTACTAGACATATAATACTTTAGAAAGCGGCATGGTAGACAAACTGTCCTTTTTGAAAAGTCCGGTACCATGGGCAACCATTAGATCATTGCCGTGACTATGACAACACAGTAATGCAATGGGTGGCACCAGGAATACATGCAAGTAAATCGAGCGTAAAGTGTAATTGATAGTGGCGGCTTCCTTTGCGGGGGATCGGCATTCTCTGCAAAAGGAGAGACGTCTGAATGAACGTGCGAATACTTCGAACGGGTATTTTATTCCCACGACCTCGTGAGCTCCGAAATTTGGATCGGATTGGGAAAACTTTATGGCATCGGTGAATGCACAACAATTCTGTCAATAATCCTGCTAACAAATTCTTTGTATTTGATACTTAACTCATCTCTGTCAGAACATATCTTTCGTTGGAACTATCCTGTTTCTTAGCACGGCATTTTCTTTTCATCACGATAATTCACGAGACAGATAGCCATGGTAACACATGCCAATGGCTGTGAGCAGGGTCAATTTGACGATGCGCATGAAGGTTCACATAATACGACTGAGGTACCCGAAACAGCGTTAGTATCTAATGACAGTGAACGTGTGGAAGGAAGAGGCAGCGCAAACTACATTGATGACCCCAATCTTCTCGAGTGGTCAGAGGAAGAAGATGGAGAGGATGACGAAGACGAAGACGGGATAAGAGAAGAAGATTTTGATGATAACCGGGTCGATGATGAGGACTGGGATGTCACTGAGCGCGGTGAGTTCGAAGTGCTGATTGTATGCGTCCTTGACAATTCTCTAATTCAATACGCACGTTTCAGACTTTACGAAGCAATATAACCGATTGCGACAGCATGTCGCAGTGAGGTCAGGTGCTGCCGAAGGGACACAGCAGGCGACAGCTAAGAGCACATCCGCCGTCGCTGTGCTTCCCGCTGTGAATCGTCCACGACGAACCGGGAATGCACCTACCACGCAATTGTCGTCGTCGATCAACCACCAGGACAAGACTACTACGGACCAACTCGCCTCATTATCTAAATACTCCGGGCGTCTAAAGCATGTTCATGAGCCATATAGGATGGGTATGGGTGCAAGTGTAAACCGTAAAGGACCAAGTGCGCATGCAAACTTGAAGGATAAAGCGGATCGTGCTACGAATGAGCAGGTCCTGGACCCACGAACGCGCATTATATTGTATAAGATGATCGGTCGCGGACTGTTACAGGAGATCAATGGCTGTGTGAGCACTGGCAAGGAGGTATGTGTTCTCGTGCTTCACATGTATTGGAGTAAGGAGTTAACGGAGTTATAGGCGAACGTCTACCACGCCCTGTCTCCCGAGGGCAAACATCTGGCTCTGAAAATCTATAAAACTTCTATTCTTATCTTCAAAGATCGTGACCGCTATGTTTCTGGTGAACATCGTTTTCGGACTGGGTATTCACGCCACAACCCACGGAAGATGGTTAGAGTGTGGGCGGAGAAAGAAATGCGGAACCTCAAGCGATTAGCAGTTGCTGGTGTTCCAGGTCCGAGACCTATCGAAGTTCGAGAGAATGTACTTGTCATGGAATTCCTCGGTGACGAGGAGGGATGGTAGGTGTCTCTCCCGAATTATTTCAGATGGAGTGTCATTGACATTCCGTACCAGGGCTTCTCCTAGACTTAAAGATGCCAAGATTCCTGAATCTGAGCATCCAAGGCTCTACCAAGACCTCCTTTTAACCGTGCGACGTCTCTTTCACGAGTGTCACCTCGTTCACGCCGATCTTTCCGAGTACAATATACTCTATGACGCAAATTCGCTTTTCATCATCGACGTCTCACAGTCTGTTGAGCACGACCATCCACATGCGTTTGACTTCCTACGCAAGGATATTGGGAATGTTGAAGAGTTCTTTTCGCGACGCGGTGTGCGGACTCTGGGTTTACGCCGAGCATTCGATTTCGTGACCCGCGTGCGGTCGAGTCTTCTATCTGAGCTTGACTCTTCCGTCGCTGAAGGGGAATCAGTAAGCGGAGGGACGAATCCTCTGTCAAAGGAAAAGGAAACTTTGCAGCGTTGGCTCGAGATGGCTGAGACCGACGGTGCAGAACGAGCCGAAGGAGTGTCGAACAACGAGTCAGAAGTTCACGCTTCCCACGAAGATGCCGTCTTCATGCGCTCTTTCATTCCCAGGAATCTCAATGAAGTATTCGATCCTGAACGTGACGTCGAAGTACTCACCAGAGGAGAAGGGAAAAAACTAATATACGCTGACACTATTGGACTCGTACACCCTACTTCGGCTTTGACGAATAAATCCGAGTCGACTCCACGCAAAGAGGGTACGACTTCGGTAAGGTTTGTAGAGGACGGCATCCAGGATATGTCGATCGGTGAGGATGTTACTTCTAAGGCAGAAAGCAAGGAGGACGTCGGCGAAGTGGTAGAACTCGAAGGTGAAGAGAACAGCTCCGACGATGATGATGACGATGAGTCCTCCACGGCTACCGATGACGAGAAATTCGAAAGCAGCAAATCCGGCGAGCACAAACCCCACGGCCACAAACACGAAGACCGCGAGCTGAAAAGGGAGCGAAAGAAAGCCGTCAAGGAAGAAGCCCGAGAAAAACGGAAACACAAAATGAAGAAGGCAGAGAAGAAGAAAAAGATAAAGGCAACAAGAAGGTCTTGACACCATAGTGCGTTTTTTTCATTTGGCACATTTGCAGGTGTATGAGACTTGATCCTACGCCCAATTGTCTTCGATCAATAGAGTATTTAGAGACGTATTTTTACAGCAACTCGTAGCAAGAAAGGACATGTATTTGAATCTGCTAAAACGAGCGTTTCCGGTCTGTATGCTTGTATGTAAGAGAAAATGGGAATCATATCAAAGTCACCTCATACATCAAGTAACGTACACAATCCCTCCACAAGATAGATAAGAAGGGCGGGAAAATGGATAGTCGGGTAGAAGCGACGAGGTTTGGAGGTGAGCGAATCAAGGAGCTTACGTCTATCAATCATCCCAGTCACCAGCCAATGCTAAGCTCAGTACTGGCAAGGAATGTTCGTGAAAGCAAACTGCAACGTAGAATGCACGACGTGTCTTTCACAATGAAGTATTAAAACGAATCCGCCTAAAATCGATTCCTGAGAACTGCAACGTCCATCGTTATGGTTTCTCCGTCGGTGCCTTTTCCGTAGACGGCTCATTTTCTTTATCCTTCGACGACGATTCTTTTCCCCTCGTTCGCTTGCGGTACATCGTAATCCACGGATGCTGCAAAACTTCAGACAACGGCATGCGCTTCGCGGGATCAAATTGAAGAAGCTACGAATTCCCAAATCAATCCGCACATAAGAAATCTTCGCGCCATTGAATAGGGAGAGGGAGAGAAACCGACTGACTTTGGTTATCAAGTCCTTCGCAGCAACCGAGACTCTCGGAGGGATCTTCAGGTCCACTTTCGCTATTCGCTTATATGTCGCTGTGAAGGATAACACAAGACCAAACGTTAGCGGCTTAGAAGTGGCGGAGAAGACGGGGTAGTCTGGGGCATCGTACACGAACCAGAATGTCCACTCAAGTCTTCAAATGGCGGTGCACCACATAGGAATTCATACGTGAGTACTCCAAGAGCCCAGTAGTCGACCCTTTCATTGTGTTCCTTTCCCAGTACCATTTCTGGAGGAAGATAGTCAAGAGTCCCACAAAGCGTTCGCCGTCTGAAATATTATCTTAAGTCAATACAAATAACAATAGAGCATTCAAACACATACCTGTTGCCTGGAGCATGAACACTCCAGCCAAAGTCACCAATCTTCAGCTCTCCATTAATTCCCAGTAACAGGTTCTCAGGCTTGATATCACGATGAATGACGTGTTTCGAATGTAGATACGACAACGCGTCAGCCATCTGGTCAATGTACCGCGAACTTCGCTTCTCTGAGAATGATCCGCATTTATTCAGCTGCTTGTATAGTTCACCCTTTCCAGCATACTCGAGCATAAGGAAGATGCGCTTCTCATCGTGGAAGTATCCATAAAGTCGTAAAATATTTGGGTGACGTAGGTTCTGCTGGATCTCGATTTCCCGACGGATCTGCTTCTCCACTTTAGACTCGACGATCTCGGATTTGTACAGACATTTAAGTGCGAGGATGTAGCGCGGTTCACATTTCGTTCGGACCATGTAGACACGACCAAATTTGCCTTTTCCCAACGGTCGCCCTATATCAAAGGAGGTGAGGTTCCAATCTCGTGTTGGACGTTCCCTACGTTAGAATTAGCATCTTGATACGGATAAGAATCGTGATCGAACAAAATTAAAACTTACACTGCGAAGCTGGAATCTAATGCAAGGATCTCGGCAGCTTCACCAGTGATTGTTGAGCCACGATTTTCATTCTCAATCTCAAAGCCTCCGTCGTACTGTCCGATGTCCATCATAGCTGGCGCCGCAGGAGTAGGCACTCTCGACGTAGCCGTCGTTGCATTCGAAGTCGTTCGCGAACGTTGAGTGTTGGTCATAGCAGCAGATTTTGTAGTTTCATTGGTATTTGTTCGCGAGAGTTGAGCTCCAGGCTTCGTACTTGCTGTAGACGTTGTACGTTTGTGGCCTGCAACGGTAGTTGTAGTCCCCGTGCTCGTTGCAGCTGCCTTCACCAATCCACTCATCCCAGTAGTTGCACCAGCACCCGCGTTCCCATCTCTATTCGGTGCATACTTTGATGCGATCTTGGTGTTTGTGTTACTACTCGATGCCTTCTTTTGCAGCGTTGGTTGGCGAGTCGTAGTAGCGGGCCTATCCTTCGCCGCAAGATCAAGATTCGAGAACTGTTTGGTAAGGTTCGAGACAGTCCCTGTCTTTGTCACCGCTGTTGCCGCTGCCATCTTGCTGTGCTTATAGATTTGTTTGACCTATGAGGCAGGCGAATAGGTCAGGTCAGGGGAGGGGGTTGCTATAAGTAAAGTACAAAGTGGACGCGTTGAGACTCCGAATCATTGTCTCCCACGGTTCGTTTTCGAACGCGTGCATCGGTCACGTGGACGTTTCTAATTACATAACAAAATTGTTGCGTAACTTCGGAATTACCAGCATCCGATCAAGGGAACTGGCATCATCATTTTACAGTATCACCGCTCCATAGCAGACTTTTTATTCATCTACTGCGAGAATAACAGTTCCCATCGAGCTTTGAGACGCTCGTTCTAAACAATGGCAGCGAAAGCGCAGTAATACCTACGAGACTGCTCTTGGGGATCTAATGTTCTGGTATGGATGCAGCAGGATTAGCCCTATTGTCCCGACTAAATTCCTACTCGTACTCTCTCAGATGGACACAAGCGAGAAAGCCAACACGACCCAAGCTGCGCGGGCCTTAAGGTATGCCCCAATCAGCTGTCCACAGCGGAATCATTTGAATTCCTCTTACCATCCTATATACTCGTCATACGGAGCAAGCATGCAGCATTCTCACCAAAGAAAAAAATGCATATTCTTATTGTAAGCAGATTGCATTATTTGTATCAAATTATCTAGCTATTTGATTACTTTTCGCAAACAGCATGTTTTCAAAATTCCCTAGCAAGAAAGCATCCGCATCGAATGAGCTGTCCCTTTTCAAAGCACTGACTAGTACGTACTCGATCATTTCCAGTGCAGATAGCATACAGTGGTATTTTTCTACCAATCTCTCTCCCTCATGCACTGCGCACTGAGTTCCTGTGTGAGTAATCCTCGTGAGAAAGATGGGTATACGGATGTTATTTACAATCCTGGGACTGCGCCTCTGTGACGGAATGGCGTCAAAGCACTCATTAACCATTGCACCATGTCTGCGCACTGCGATGGTGCACACGGACAACCCAAATTGGGATTGATATTTATGATTAGATTAGGGGGCGCTGCGGGGCCACATGGATGATCAGCACAATGTTCTACTAGGATTTTCTACCATCAATATTAATAATCGCCGCGAGTCTAATCCTTTTCTTCCCGTCTTTACCGGTCCCTAGCATGACTCGAGCTATGCTTTTTGTTCTAAATATTCTGAGAGCTTATACACTGAACTGCCTGTCCTCGAAATTGACTCGAATCAACCATATGCTTTCTTGCCCTTTACCCAAGCTAGGACTTCAGCATACGCCTTTTCTCGAATTCTATTCCCTATTTGTCCATGGGCGAGTCATGTCGGCGCGAACGAAGCGCTTGAGTGGTCGGGTCCGCCGGTTGGATGTATTCGCCGTGAACATTGAACAGTCTCCCTCACGCTCTGATCCTTGAGCGCAGTCATCTCAGTAACTGTGCACTGCGGCTGTCCTCTTCGGATCAAGGCTACTACACAAATTGGATTATTATTTGCACATGTGTGTTCAATCCTCAAATGTCGCGAATTTAGCAAACGGTTTAAAAGCGCAGAGTGAATCGATCATTATCCTCATCCAATACTTGCTCGCTACTCGCAATCTACTGCCAAACAAGAACGCTATCTCAAATCTACCTCTGCTACATATCTCATCTCTACCATGCTCAACAACCAGACGTCCTCCACCGACGATGCATCCTCGATCAGCAACCAGCCACTCATTCCTAAGGCGTCGGAGCCAAAGGACTATGAGGCAGCAGCAGCAGCTCTCATGACAAGCTACGGGCTGCCTGGCGGTATGCAACCCACGCCTATTCCTTCTAAGAAGGAAAAGAAGAAGAAGGGGACTGAAGGAGGGTAAGTGAAAACCTTCCCCTCAAATTATAGCATAGCTGTAACACGGAGCTGTTATTTTGACAGTACATCCAACAAGTCGGATGGAACTGCTAATAACAAGGCCGGACAGTCGAGGTTCGTTTAGCTTTACCAAGATCTATGTATGCTTAGATTCCTATATTGTTTCGGCTCGCTAGCACAGCGTCCTCTGCTGACGCTACGACTAAGGAATAAACTATGTGGGACTATGTATGCTGTCGTGAGTTGTTATATTTCTTCTGAGTTCTGTTCCTGATATTCATTAGTCGCAGAATCAGGGGGCAATAGCCTGCCTAGGCCTTAGAAATGTAATTATTGACAGAGAATGGTTTATGATATTGTTTGATACAGATTCAGTATCTCATCGCTAGTTATTTTAAGCAGTACACAAGGATCGCAGTCAAACTTTGGGCGAATATACAAGACACAAGCAAATATTCAAGGTTTTGCCCTTGCTACTTGTAGTTGTAAATTGTATCCATCCGTGACTTAACATACTCGCCTGCAGTGATAACTTCATATTTTGGTGGATGCTCAGCAGAGACACAACTAGGAATGGCCTATACATAACGTGATGAGAAAATCAAATTATACTTCCATTTATACACAGTGCAAGAAACGAGCTCACCTCCAGTTTGACATTGTAATCAAAGTTAAAGAAGACAGGCATCGAGTGCCGTTCGACTCCAGACCGGTTGACGGCTCGGTGAACAGTTGACTTGAATACGTCATCTGCAGTGATATGATCGACCAGGTCAGTAATACCCAACAGAATATCGTCTCACTCACTTGCACATCTGGAGAGCTGGTCTCCAACGCTACGGCAATCACATTAAAAATATTCAGGAAGGGGAGCAACCACACTCACTTAACGACAAGTGTGCCGGGAATGGGTGTTGCATTTATCCACTCTTTATTGGCATCCATGACTTGGAGTGATTCAATACCCGGTTCTTGCCACAACAGTGTAAAAACCTATAAATGTGGAGTTTGTAATAACAGGAACTTTTGGTTTCAATAGAAAGTAATATACCTCAAAGCTGGTATTAATAATTATTAATTATGGGACGAGTGAGAAATACAGGATATTAATGAAATCAAAACTTTAATGCTTACTCGCTATGAGCGCCTATTCCTATGACTCTATCATCATGAGGCCCAGTTTGCGGAGGATAACGAATAACGCGCATAACTATGGCGTCCTCTTTTGTCTAAGTACCATTAACATCAAACTGTATATACGGCGGTATGTGAATCAGAATACCTTGTCATCAAAAAAATTCTCCGGAACACCTAACGCAAGTGCAAAGATAGGAAAGAGCTTTTTCCCGAACTCTGCTGCAGCATTGCTTCGAAGCTTGTATTAATTTTCATAGTTCTATATGATTTTAAATGAGTATAATACGCACTAAAAACTCAATGCACAGTCTTTAAATTCGGGAACCTCGGTATTAGGCCACGGATTGGCAGGGATCTCGCTTTGCTTGTGCGAATAACTCTTGTCGGGCCCGACATCGAATGCTTCATGGAGGTCTCCCCTACCAGCAGGATCATTATTCTCGTCGAAATTCGCTGTATATCCTGTATAATTCGGAGATTTCCTAAGGTTGTACTATTCCACAGGGTAACATTTCGTCAAATTTATAAATTACGGACAAATGATTGAGAGTAAAAAAACCTTCTGTTTGATTTCTTCAGGGAGGGCGAAAAACTTCTTCCCGGCATTGACAGCTCCGAAGCTGCTCTTCTCGGGTATCCCATGATTCTTGACGTAGAAGAACCCGATATTAATGCAAGCATTGCGGATATCTCTTGCAAGCTGCTGTCGAACAACCAGATCCTCACTCTCCAATCCTTCTACATCACTAACGCCATTCAGAGTTTATAAACATCTAGTAGGTAGCGTATCAGTTGAGAAAATGCATCCGTACATGACAGGGATATTCTTGAAGCTATAGTCAGCACGACTAGCAGTTTGTAAGACACTCTCGATACCCATGCTTGCGAACGGTCAATGGCTAAGGCTCGTTCACGAGAGAGATAGTGCAGATAAGTGGTGGTCAGACGACGTCCCACGGTGCCCTAAATTTAGCAGCAGGAGAGCTTATGTGGTGAGTTCTGTACAGTAAGTTACCGTTGACGCTTCTCCGAATATGTAAAAAGAAGGGCCAAGAAAATGTCAAACAGGAGTGCATGCGTCCTTATTTTAAGTCTTTGACAGTCTTGCATGATTTACCGAGGTTTTGGCACAAGTAAAAAGGCCAGTGGTAGAGAAAGCAAAAGCCAGTCCACTAAACAGCCACACCAGAAGAGCAAATATGACACGAGCCAGAAAGTCAACGAATATTTGTGCCACCCTTATCGATCCCAACAACGAGCAATCAGCTGGATGGAACTAAGCGACCAACATCTAACCATTTTCTTGGGGGATAATTCCAGCAACTTGTCTCATTCGAAACACTTGAGGCCGAGAATGGTGAAGATAACACCGACGGAATAATTTAGAGCCGACTGTGTAAATTCACATTCACTTACGAGAACATTGAACCCTCTCTCGGAAAGAGGTCTGCTCTAGGTGACACTGTCGAAAACGTGCATTACACTCACCTGAAGCGTTCATCAACGCGTGTCAACAAGACACATCACTTGATCTTGATGCGTGGCTGCTTGCTATAAGAACGCGCGAATACTAGTCAAGTCCGAGGCGAAGGAGGCCTGGGTACTTAACAGCAACGTTACTTTGAGCTTCGGAGGGCATACGATAAGGTAACATACAGCGATACGAATGACAAGAAGAATCATGGACCAAAAAGAGTAATATCATTTACACTTCAAAGACGGTAATGGCAAGCGATGAACTCACGGCTCTTCTTATAAGACCCGTTAGGGAAAGGGATTTTTCCGCGTAAAATACGCGCTTATTCTGTCCTCATGATGCAAGACAGACGCGGTATCTACCTCTATAGTCAAGTCTCCCGTCTTCCAAACTGAGACGCACCTGAGGCCGAACTTCCGTGCTACGATTTTAGTCTACCATCATTCGCTCTGTATGGAGTCCCTCGCCATACGCCATGCTTTCGAAGATAATTTGACGCCAGATCGAGGTGACAAATTCTACTGATTCTTCCTCGAGGACCTATTGGAGGGTGTCGTTAATATCTGATAAACTACTAAAACAGTACGTCATAGTCTTACAGGTTCAAGTCCTTCTACGAGTTTTTGCGGCCCCTTATGATCTTTGAGGTGTTCGACGGTGAACATGACCAGGTCATCGTCCTCTAGTTCACCCAGATACTTCGTCATCTGGCGCTTGATCAACGGTTCAAGCTTGCGATCAATTAATTGCTAACGATACAGGTCAGCTAACATTTTTCCACATAAGAAACGGCAGGAACGACTCACATCAGACAGGCCATCCCATCGGACTTTCGCTTTGAACAATGCGTCCTTGTCTCTAGGTACATTCTCACGTATCTTCTCCAACCGCTCCTTCGCCTTTTCTCCTTCCGCAACACTGAAGTCGAGTTTCACCAATGGCACCTTACGTTTCTTGAACTCTTCTTCTTCCTCCTCTTGCGCAGCAAATGCAGCCGCTGCAACGGCTGCTTTCGGGTCAGCCGACTCCGCCTTTTGTGCATTCGCTGCTTGCAATGAAACGTTGAGTTTGACAGGAGCACCATCATCAAGGAGCATCCCTGCTTTGCGCTGTTCATCCGCGAGTTGCTGCATCTCATCCATCTGCCGTGCTAAGAACGCCTCAGATTCACGACGCAGGTTCTCTGCTTCTTTCTCTTCATAACTGCGAGATTGCTCGTCAGCGGCTTCTTCCGCCCTCAGACGACGTACCCGTTGGGCTCTCCATCGTGCACGATCGGTGTAGAAGAGTTCGTCACTTTCATCGTCGTCCCAAACGTGCAATCGAGACTTCATTTCAACTTTGTCATGTTCTTCCGCCTCCCTCGTCGCTCGTTGCCTCGCAATAGAGCGCTCCATCTCAGTGATTCGCCTCCGTTCCCGAGGTTCATATCTTCGTTCACGCTGTAAAGAGTTAGTACGTTTAAGTATATGGAAATGACAACTTGACTAACGTCTCTAAACGAATTCTCCTCATTTCGCCTTCTTGCCTCCTTCCGCTCTTCTTCCATCTCTTCGTCCGTCTTTTGGGTATTATTTGACGAGCTTCCAGCATCTCTGCCACTTTCCCTGACAAATCCCACAGGTTTGTTATACCCTTGTGCTCCATTGCCGTATCCTTGCTGCCTAGTTGGGGAATGAGCAGACCCTTGAGGTTTTCCCCACTCACGCTGTTTTGGACCTGCCGGCGCAAGAGCTGGGACGGCCGCCGATGTGACCTCGACCATCTTTTCACGCTCGCGCTTCGCCGCACGTTCACGGAACTGAGCTATTTCGGAAATGACTAGTCCACGCTGGGTCTCCGGCAAGTCTGCTTCTTGGAGGTCATGCAGATGAGGCGGAATCACGTATCTTTCTTTATCGAAGGAACCCTTATCTGCAGCTTCGTCATGCTGCTTTTTGATGTTTTGTAGTAGTTCGGTTATTTGTATTCGCGCGTGTTGTACCTGAGCGTCATCTGTCTGTATAAATTGTCAGACCTTCGTATTCGAAATAAGAGACGAAGAATGAAGGGAAGCGTTGACTGACATCAGTGTTCATACGCGAGGCGAAATAGGCGTCAATCATCCCTTTGTTAAGCTCATCGGCTCTCACCTGCAACAAATAGCAGAACCGCGTAAACCCAGAAATGGCGATGAAAAATCAACAGGACGCACCAAAAGCTTTTTGTTCGGAGCACCATCCTCCATCCCAGGCAGCTCGACACCATCAAGTAGCTTGATGGCACGCGCCGCAGATTCTGGGCTGTCGAACGTCGCAAAGCCGAAACCTTGAGGCTTATTGGCAGGTGTGATGAGGCGCTTGAAAGAAACTAGCGTTCCACATGTCTGCATGATAAAAAGGAAATGCATTAACACCGCTGCTTTGCATGAGTTAGAGAAAATAGGAGAGGCTCACGCCGAGCAACTGCTGCAAGAATGAATCGGTTATACCACCGGCAATCGAGCCGACAAAGAGCGTAATACCTTCCTGCGCCGGGCGTGCGGGAGGTGCCTGCTGCCTTTGAGCAAGAGTCATCATGGAAGGTCCTTGGCCGTACGAAGGCATGGGCGGACGTAGACCAAGACCAGGCCGATTCATGTTCATGCCTGGATATCCTTGCATTTCAACTTCGAATCCTCTTCGTTATTGACTATTTATCGCATAAGCGTGTATCTCTCTGGAAGAATATATTCCGCCTACCTTTGACGAGAGCGTTGTCGTCGTCGCCGGCCTGTATCTTTCGTGAAGGTAAGCAACGAAGCAGGGCTCACTGGAGTGACTGCACAGAGTTCGAAGTCATAGCCACGGTCGACGCGCGGAATTAATTTGCCTCTTTCGGACTTATTAGTAAGCTGACTTCATCTACCCGGAAAGGCCGTAATATCATTTTTCTCGGTCTCATTACACGACTCTCATTACCCTGACTACAAGCAACCAAAGATACAGTCTCCAGAACACAGATGATCAAGCCTCTAAACTGGATATAAAGTATGTGGGGGAATAAAGATTGAATATATAGAAATACAATGTGCTTCAGCCATCAACATCCCTCATGAAATCACCAAAGTGACAGGCCATCAAACTGCATGAGAATCGCAAAGACCACCGACGCAATCAAAACAGTGAGTCCTGTCCAAGTATTATGCGCGCTATTTTGAACATGGGCATCATTTGCTAAGATAACGTTCGAGAACGCCATCGGGCCAGACCCGTAGACTTTCACGCTTTTAACCTCGAAATATGCGTTGTCAAAATTTGATGGGTGACCGGCCACCCAGTCATCGTAGCAGTCGCCTGGGCACGTCTCAGCGAAAATCGATGGAAATCCGGCACTAAGGTTGGCGAAATTTTGATCAGCTTCCCCTCATATGCAAATCAAGAAATAACGCACAGATCGCCGCAGAGAGTGATATCAAACACAAGATTCTGTGGCTTGAAGAATTCCTCAATGTTACATCCCGAATTCGGCCAATTCGCAACAGGAGTCCCAAACGTCGCCGTGTCGAAGGTTGTTACATTTTGTCCCTGTAACGACGCTGGAATTGACGAACGCTATATAAAGACGATCAGTTTGCGCTTCATCTAGCCTGACCACAAGAACCGACGTTGAAAAACCAGATGCTAAAGACATGTCGAGGTTAGCATTTAAGTTTACTTAATAGAATAAACTGTTTTACGAGACACCAGATTCCGCAAATTCTGTAACGTAGATTCCTCCGCCAGCCTTCGCAAATGCCTCGCCATACGAAGAAGGCTGTGGATCAGACGTGACGCAACCTTGGTTCCCGTTCAGTAGATAACTACAGTCCGTCGAGTTCACTAAAGTACTGGTCTGAGTCGCATTTGCTTGCACGCAGCCCTACAGGAGAAAGGGTAAGAAATCCGTAATGTTAACAGTGGGTTGTTACTTACCGGTTCTGTATGTAGAGTCATGCGATTGTTTTTTACATCATTAATACCCTCGAACGTGTCAATTTCGCCTCCGTTTGGCCAGTCTGGCGCTGTTGACCAGAACGCAGGCCAGGTGGAGCACTATATACGAATCTATCAGCCTAAGTTCACCGAGTACGGCGTCAATACGTACTCCGTAGGGTACATGAAGAAAGTCGGCGATCCACACGCTTCCCACTTTAAATCGATCTTTAGAAGTTATGCGGATACTCTCCCGTTTATCACCGAATGATATTATTGACGAGTTGTCCACTCGCATGACAGCATGACCGTTACCATTCACGAATGCCAGGGATCTCTTTTTCGCTTGGGGTTGTGCAAGAAACCTATTGTGCCACTCAAAGTCAGTGCGAGGTGCTAGCACGCTAAGAAACCACCGAACGTACATGGCGTCTCCATTGGTCAGATTATCACCTGTAACATGTGTCGAGCAAGATTTAAACACAAAGGGAATTCGAGCCTACTATGATCAAAGAATGTCCAGCGATCGAAGAACGTGTCTCCGGCGTATTCCATTGCAAAGTTGTATCTCGTAGCCATAGTAAGGCTAGGGAACGCTGCAATAAACACAGCTGCAAGAGCGGCAGATCTTGAAGGTTTCATATTTCTCGTCGATTGTGCGGGAGTGATGCGCGTGGCACAAGATGGGGAAGGGGAGTGGGGAATTAGGGTGGCAGAAGCTAGAGCGTCCGCAACTGCAAGGGTCTGGGAGGTATAATAATACGAGTCTAGCAAAAGACTGGCGAGAAGGAGAGGAAAGTTAGACCCTTGGCCAGCGAGGGTTGGTTTATAGTACGGATTGAAAAATTATTAACGTAAGGATAAGGTGGGACAGACGTGTGCAGAAGCGGAATGAAGAGAAGAGAACACAATTCTGCACCGAAGCGTGGTGGCTGCCGCCGTCTCTGCGTCGATCAACGGGATCAACTGATCGACACCCGCTGCCTATCTCAGATCTCTATCTTCCTTACCGCCAATATCGTCCTGAAGCGAGAAGGAAAGCAACTACTCTGCATCCTGGCTAATTCTGCGTACCCATGATGCTTTCTTCTAATCCTTGATTTTCTGTGCCCGACTTTGAGGATTTACCTTACGCTCTGCCGAGTCCGCCTAAAATGCGAGACCAATAAAAGAAAGGAGCCAAGGCAGAGGTGTAGACCTGAAAAAAGATGGGATACAGGGCAGATGTGTATAACAGCGTATACAAACGAGTAATTCTCGTGCCTGCATGCTCTGGGCCTGATCCTGATTTTCAGGTACACCAATAGAACGTCCACCGATTGGCGTCTTCTCGGTGATTTGGACACGTTATTCAGTAATCTTGCACTGTTCTCGGATGCCACGAACGGAGCATATTGTCCAGCATAGAGTTTACAGAGTCGGTATTTCCAGACTCAATTGCGCGGGAGTCTACGATCGGAACGTCCTGAGAAGAGTGAAGCAATTTTACTCTAGTCCATCAGCCGATGCTCGAATTAAAGCGCGGCAGTCAACTGCGGCACGAAGTCCTTTGATAGCGGCACTTACATACAATACTCAATGAGAAATTACGCCAAGGTCGAGACAAGCACGAAGGAGGCATTTGAAAATCTACAATATACTCTCGATAAAAAACCTATCGTTCACTTTCTTCCCACCTACGCAACGTTTCATCTTCGCCAACAAATAGCGAGACAGGTATTAACTTGCTCCTTATCAAAGGCACTAACTCTGCCGCCACCAGAAGCAGACAGTCTTATGAGCAGCACCAGCTTCAACTCCCTACTTGAATCTTTGTGCACACACCCAGACCGAAACTGCAAGCCAGAGGTTTGTCTCCACCTTTTTATACTTGAATTTCCATCCCGTATTCTAGAACAAAGCATTTTCAGGTAAAAGGTGTTACATTAGTAAGGCCCAGATCAGGCAGATGAAAGCTGTGGGTAAGACATGCACCAAGTGATTTGTCTGCAAGCTACCAGCCACAGTAAACTTGCCTTAGACTGCTTAAGTAAAATATTAACACTTAGATTGTGAAAAAAAAAATCATTTGGATATAGAGTCTGGGACCTGGGTTTGGCTCGGAGGACTGTAAGGAACTTAGGCTTCTGCATGAAGATAAGAACATTGAGAATATTGAGAACTAACACAGTCTCAAGAACACTCATTCAATAAAGGCTGTTTCAGCAAACTATATGTGTCTGGTGTAGAAATAAGGAGTTTCCAAAAGTACAGAGAGGCATAGCACCATTTGATAAAAAAAACAATGCAGAGGCACGAGTCAATTCACATGAATTGAAAGGACTGGATAAGGTGACTGTAGAACAAATATTCTATAATCCAACTGCATTTATTTCTCAGACACACAAATATTCATATTGACCTTCTTGGAGTGATGTCAACATCCACTCAGTATCAGGAAGCCATTCATCAGTTCCTGATTCAATCGACAAGGATACAGTTTCAATTTACTCTACATGATTAGATTATCATTTAATCATATTATACTCTCAGAGTTTCAGATTATTTGTATGTCAGCAACAGCGGCAAAGCTGCTGCTGTATTATTGTGCCAATGGCATTACTATGACTGTCTAAGACATAATATTGTTCAACCCAACACCGAAAGAAACCTGTCTATCGGTTCGCCTTGGATCTCCTATCTCACATCACAAGCACAGCGTGTTATTACAAAATACTACGGAAAAGGCAATTATCTCTTGGCAAGCTGTCTAAGGGGCGAGTGAAGTCAGTGCTGAAATGTGGATAACTGTGACGCTGTACCTTCTCACTCCTATCTTCCACAATTACTCCTAACTATAGTTAACCTGTTCTTTCAAGCTGTAACACTTTGAAAATCAGCTTCAAAGCACCAATACTGTCAGTGCTTCGCGAATGCAGCGCTGTTTGTTTGAATTGGTTTGTTCAGTAGAATAGAAGCGGTGTTCACTGCTGAAACGAAACTTTCTAGACTGTTTTTTTGCATAGGTAAACCGGGAGGCTGTGTAACAAATACGATCGACCTTTCCTTTACGGGATACTGCATCAAGGGCCCATGCTACGCGCCTTCACCGCCCATCGCAGTCCGTCACAGTGCTGCGGCACTTTAAATACAAATTTAATCCGCTGCGCACGTTACTCACTGCAAACCATGTCCTACTACCCAGAGGTCAGTACAGAAAACGTGCTGAGTTGCGGTAAATTGACGTTTTGTGAAGGCAGATGAAGCCCAGCGAGGGCAAGCTGGTCAACATTACAATTACGCTCCCTACGTAGCTGGATATCCACAAGAGCAAAGCCATCCAGCGCACTCTGCGACGCCAAACCCATACGAGAACCCTCCGTATGGACAACCGCACCAGGGTCTTCACCAGCCTCAGCTGCCTGATCCATTCGCGACGCCGAATGCGCAGGCATATCCTCAGGGATACCCCCTGAGTCCACCTCCGCCAGGGATACACAGTCCTCCTCCCCCGCCGTCGCACATCGTACACAACTCGCCACCCCCGGGAGGAGACGTATTCAATCCGTATCATTCACCACCGCATCAGAACCTCAATTACCTCCCACACGATAATTCAGCGGCCCCGCTTCGCCCGGTCTCGCACTTCTCAACCTACGATGCTCCCGAGCCTAACGCAAATGACGATTTGGGTGATATCCCGCTTTTGCGACGTGACTCCAGCTCTGGTCTTGCGCCGTTCCCGGGTGGGTTTGCTGCTTCACAAGAGGGCGAGGATGAGGAAGATACAAACATCCGATACGGACGAATTCCACAGCGTGTACCGCGCCGATATAAGACAATGAAGCGTGTCGAGCTCTTCCACGGAAACCTTGTATTCGATTCTCCGGTACCTCAGAAGCTACTGGACAGATGCAAATTCCGTACCGAACGCGAGTTCACGCACATGCGATACAGTGCTGCGACGTGTGACCCGAATGACTTTATGAATGAAGGTTTTACGCTGCGACAAGTGCTGTATGAGCCGCCACGACGCACGGAGCTGTTCATCGTCATGACGATGTATAACGAGGACGATGAATTATTCTGTCGTACAATGCATGGTGTTATGAAGAACGTCGCTCACTTGTGTACGCGCAACCGTTCTCGCACGTGGGGCTCGGAAGGGTGGAAGAAGGTCGTGGTGTGCATCGTGAGCGATGGCCGTAAGAAGATTCACCCACGTACTCTGTCAGCGATTGCCGCTCTTGGTGCGTACCAGGATGGCGTTGCGAAGAATGTGGTCAACAAGAAGCCTGTCTCTGCCCACATATATGAATATACCACGCAAAGTGAGTTAGACTTCACTACGTCAGTATTCCATCACTGACTAGTTCCAGTATCTTTGACGCCAAGCAGAAAGATTGAAGGCTCGGAAAAAGGAATTGTACCCGTACAAATTCTGTTTTGTCTGAAGGAAAACAACCAGAAGAAGATCAACTCCCATCGCTGGTTCTTCAATGCTTTCGGTCCGATCTTGCAGCCCAATGTCTGCGTGCTGCTCGATGTTGGCACTCAGCCAGGACCAACATCGATCTACCATCTTTGGAAGGCATTTGACATTAATTCTAATGTCGGCGGTGCTTGTGGCGAGATCGTTGCGTTGAAGGGCAAGTGGGGTCTAAATTTGCTCAACCCGCTTGGTTTGTCTCCCTTCGAAAATGAAGAAGTCTGTGATATTCACGTGAATTATTATAGTTGCGGCGCAGAACTTCGAGTACAAGATATCAAATATTCTCGATAAGCCTTTGGAGTCTATTTTTGGATACATCACTGTGCTGCCGGGTGCTTTCAGTGCCTACCGATACATCGCTCTCCAGAACGATGCGCAAGGAGAAGGACCATTACAGAAGTACTTCTTAGGAGAGAAGCTGGTTGGTTTCCTATTCCTTAATAAAATTCTGATTAGAAGTCTGAGTAATATTTCGCAGCACGGTGGCGACGCAGATGTCTTTACATCGAACATGTATCTTGCAGAGGACCGAGTAAGTTTTCTTCCGTCCATCAATTCTCAAATAATTCTCAGATGAGCTAATTTGTCTAGATTCTCTGCTGGGAGCTCGTCTCAAAGCGCGGCGGCTCATGGATCCTTCACTATGTCAAGTCAGCGTATGCCATTACGGACGTGCCCGACCAAGTTCCAGAACTCATCTCGCAGCGACGGCGTTGGTTGAACGGTTCCTTCTTCGCCGCGATCCACAGTACCTTCCACTTCGCGTACATTTACCGCTCGAGCCATTCGTTCGCGCGCAAGTTCTGGATTCATGTTGAACTGCTGTACCAGGTGTTCAATCTTATCTTCTCGTGGTTCGCACTCGTGAGTCTATCCACTCCCCTAGGACATCCTTCAAACCGTTGATACTCACTTCGTACATATTTCCTCCTTAGGGCAACTATTACATTGCGTTCACGATCCTCACCGACTCCATGGAAGACTCCAAGCTGAAAATCAAGGGTATTCACATCGTCAACTTAATCTTGAACTATTTTTACCTGGGCTTGCTCGTCATGTGTTTCATCCTGGCGCTCGGTAATCGGCCACAGGGATCGAAACGGGCGTATACGTTAGCCTTTGTCGGGTTTGCAATTATCACGATTTACATGACGGTATGTCCTATCAAAAGACGCTTTACATAAGGCATGATAGGGTCGCTGATCATTCATTACTTACCAGGTCGCTGCAGTCCTTTTGACATACCTCGGAATAAAAAACGTCGCAGACGACAGCGCTAATGGTATAAACTTCTCTGACCTGGCATCGAATGCGATCTTCCGGAATATCGTTATTTCCCTACTTGCAACCATAGGGCTTTATTTGATTTCTTCTTTGCTATTTGTACGCGGTTTTTTCTTTGCTTGCTTGCGCTAACGTCGACTGATTGGTTGGCTTGATGCAAGTTTGAGCCATGGCATATGATCACAAGCTTTATTCAGTACTTGTTGATGGCACCGTCATATATCGCTGTTTTGAACGTCTATGCCGTACGTTACCATGTTCTCTTCCTAGTCAGGCAACTAACCCTATCATTGCACCTCTAGTTTGCAAATGTACAGTACGTATGCGCATCATATACATCCATGCACTTTGCTAACTCGTCGAAATTATTCGCTAGCGACATCACTTGGGGAACGAAAGGTGACAACAAGGTCAGCACGGACCTCGGTGTCGTAAAGACAGACGCAAAGAGCAACGCCGTCGAAGTCGATGCACCCACTGATAAAGCAGATATTGACGCTGCTTATGAAAATGCATTGACGGTGTTGCATACGAAGCCTGCACCGGAAAAGCCGAAGCATGATGCTGAGCAGGCAAATAAGGATTATTATCAATCGTTTAGAACTAGGTGCGTTAGACCTTTTCCACAAGTACGGGCGGAGATTGATGTTATATTTGATAAAGGGTACTTTTGTTCTGGACTTTGTCAAATGTGAGTTCTATACGGTTGTGCTTACTTTGGAGCGATAAACTGATTGCGTCGGTTCAGGGCCTCCTTGCTGCCATTGTAGTGTAGGTCGCCGACAATGCTCAATTGTTCCATTATCTTAACTTTATGTTCTAGTTCCGCAACGGGTAGCGCAGCTTCCGAAGGGGCTCAAAAGACAGTAAACGGGTACATGGCGTTCATTCTCTTCTCGGTCGCAGGTCTAGCATGTACGTCTTTCTCTTCCTTATTCCGTTCACTTTGTCCACGAGCATTGAATGTTTTGCTAATTACACCGTGTATAGTCTTCCGATTCTGCGGCTCAGTAGCATACCTCCTCGTTCGTATGTTCGCTGGAGAATAAACGGGAGCCTGAGCATCCCTGTACATATATTGTTCGGAGGTCGGATGTGCTTGGTATTTATAAGGATAAGGATCATCTACTTGTCTGACTCTTTCCCCTGTCATTTTATTCCATCTATTCTTCTTTTCTGCTGACTTTCGCCTGTTGTCTTTTCGTTTATGTATGACGGACGAGCACGTGGTTCTGGTTTTCGCATTCTCTTTTTAACGTATACCACCTTTGAACGCCTACAAGATAACAAACTCCCTATTACATCTTTCCTTGATTTGGTTTGAGGCTTGACGCGTGTTCAATGTAAAAAATAAAGGGATACAATACATATAAAACGTACTTATTATTCACTATTACCAACCAGTCTGGATAGTGTTAGAGGGCAACTGGGCAGTTATTTGTTCGGACGTTAACCGTGCCGCCAAATTGCATTGCCGCTGCTAACTTGATGTTCTGCTTATGTGAGTATAAACAATGACGTATAATTGTAAAAAATTACCTTATTGGTATTTCGTAGTATATTACAAATATGTTTACATACTAAAGCTTTTTGCTGCAGACGTTAACGTCGCCTGCCAACTGCTTTTCAATTACTCTTGTAAATATCCGGAGGGAAATCTCCTCGGAAGTTCCTGCTTTAAACCTAAATCTTGAGCTAGCATCGGTACAATACGTATTACACAGTGTTGGAGTTAAAGCACTACGAGCTTTCTAACTACTGTAAAAAGTTTGTGATGCTGCAAACGTAATTCTTAACACGGCCAAAATACAAGCAACATGCAATGAAAGTAAGTTATTGCAAGCACAGCAAGTTGTATCACACATACTTAATACTACCTTCCTTTTCTCTATCTTTTCTAAGACAACCGACATCATGAGTGGACACATTCAATGTAACCGTCAGGATAGGAAAGGGTGGAGGCAAAGCACCAGCACAAGATCTGAAATGGGGCAATATCAGAAAGAAAAAGGATTTCGATAAAAGACTGATTCCAATGCGGAGCCTGCTGATCTAGAAGAATACGCAAAGCGGCAAAGATTGCCGTCTCCTGGTGTAGCACCCAATGTCAAACGAACAGAAGACGCGAAGAAAGAAAGAAGATTAAGCTGCTTAACTTTCTTTAAGCAACTGATGACGGTTTCAATTCAGGAAGCCTTGGGCTACATCGAAGGCTATGATGTTATGCAGTGAGTAAAACAATTCATTGTACGTAGCAACTAGGTTAATAAATGTGGTGGTAGCTTGTGCATATGCAGTAATACAGGAAGTCAATTCGCCAGGAAAGCCAATTATTTAAATGCTTTCCGATATTTGTCCTGTTGATGCTGGGCAGCTCACATAATTCAGTCAGTCACATAAGGCTTGCCCGTGTACCCAATCCGATTCCGGTGGAACAGGCATCTTGTCACTTCGACCAGACACCCCAATTACCTCCCGCATGACGCTTCGGCGGCCCCTTCGTCCGACCTTGCACTTCTCAACGCATGGTGCTCCTGAGCCCGACACGAATGACGATTTGGGTGATATCCCGCCTTTGCGACGTGGCTCAAGCTCCGATCTTTCATCGTTCCCAGGTGGATTTCCTTCTTTCCAAGAGGGCGGAGAAGACGAGAAGAAAGATATAAAACATCCGTCACGGACGAATTCCGCAGTGGGTGCCACGCCGATATAAGACAATGAAACGTGTCGAGCTCTTCCACGGGAACCTCGTATTCGAGTCTCCGGTACCTCAAAGGTTACTAGACAGATGCAAATTCCGTACCGAACGCGAATTCACGCACATGCGATACAGTGCTGCGACGTGCGATCCGAATGACTTCATGAATGAAGGATTTACGCTTCGACAGGCACTGTATGAGCCTCCACGACACACAGAGTTATTCATTGTTATAACGATGTATAACGAGGACGATGAATTATTCTGTCGTACAATGCATGGTGTTATGGAGAACATTGCGCACCTATGCACACGCAATCGTTCGCGCACCTGGGGTGCGGAAGGATGGAAGAAGGTCGTGGTGTGCATCGTAAGCGATGGGCGTAAAAAGATTCATCCACGTACATTGTCAGCCATTGCTGCTCTTGGTGCATACCAGGATGGTGTTGCGAAGAATTTGGTGAACAGCAAACCTGTTGTTGCCCACATATATGAATACACCACGCAAAGTGAGTTAGGCTCCACTGCGTTACTGTTCCATCACTGACTAGTTCCAGTATCTTTGACGCCGAGCAGAAAGATTGAAGGCCCGGAAAAAGGAATTGTACCCGTACAAATTCTGTTTTGTCTGAAGGAAAACAACCAGAAGAAGATCAACTCCCATCGCTGGTTCTTCAATGCTTTCGGGCCTATCCTTCAGCCCAACGTCTGTGCGCTTCTCGATGTCGGCACTCAGCCAGGACCAATATCGATCTACCATCTTTGGAAAGTATTTAATAGTAATTCTAACGTCGGTGGTGCTTGTGGCGAAATTATCGCGTTGAAGGGCAAGTGGGGTCTGAACTTGTTCAACCCGCTTGGTATGTCCCTATCAAATGAAGAGTCCTTTAGTAATTAATTTGAATGTCTACAGTTGCGGCGCAGAACTTCGAATACAAGATGTCGAATATCCTGGACAAGCCTTTGGAGTCTATGTTTGGATACATCACTGTACTACCGGGTGCCTTCAGTGCCTACCGATACATCGCTCTCCAAAATGATGCTCAAGGAGAGGGGCCACTAAAGAAGTACTTCTTAGGAGAGAAGCTGGTTCGTCTCCTGATTGCTTTCGAGAACACGAAAAGGCGGTAGACTGATATTTCTGCAGCACAGTGGCGACGCAGATGTCTTTACGTCTAACATGTATCTTGCAGAGGACCGAGTGGGGTTTTTATCCGTTTATCTTTTACCAAATTAGTTAACCTGTCATAGGTTCTCTCCTGGGAGGTCGTCTCAAAGTCCGGCGGGACATGGATTCTACACTATGTCAAGTCAGCGTATGCCATTACAGACGTGCCGGACCAAGTTCCGGAACTCATCTCACAGCGACGGCGTTGGTTGAATGGCGCATTTTTCGCCACAATTCACAGTATCTTCCACTTCGCGAACATTTATCATTCGAGCCATTCGCTCGCGCGCAAATTCTGGATCCATGTTGAGCTACTATACCAGGTGTTCAACCTTATTTTCTCGTGGTTCGCACTTGTAAGTCTATTTGCTTGTCTAGAAAGACTCCTTTCTAATTGCCCGATGTCTACACCGTGGATGTTTCTTCCTCAGGGGAATTATTATGTTACATTCATGATTTTAACTGACTTGATGGAAGACTCCGAGCTCAAATTCAAGGGTATCCATGTCGTTAACACAATCTTGAACTATTTCTACCTCGGCTTGCTCGTGATGTGCTTCATTCTGGCTCTCGGTAACCGACCACAAGGATCAAAGCGGGCGTACACATCAGCTTTCATCGGGTTTGCGATAATCACTATTTACATGACTGTACGTGTGTTATAAAAATTCCTTTCACGGGACATAATACAACCGATTATTCATATTTTATCAGGCTGCTGCAGTCCTTTTGACATACCTCGGCATAAGGAACGTCGCAGATAACAGCGCTAATGGCATTAACTTCTCTGACCTGGCGTCGGATTCGATCTTCCGGAATATCGTTATTTCCCTACTTGCGACCGTAGGTCTTTATTTGATTTCTTCTTTGCTCTTCGTATGTGTATTTTACTTTGCTTGCTTTGCGATAACTTCGACTGATTGATTACGTGATAATAGTTTGAGCCATGGCATATGTTTACGAGCTTTATTCAGTACTTGTTGTTGGCACCGTCGTACGTCGCTGTTCTGAACGTCTATGCTGTACGTCACCGAACTGTTTTCCCGATCACGAAATTGACCACATCGTTACACCTCTAGTTTGCAAATGTACAGTAAGTTTGCGAATGTACTCATCCATGCGCTTTGTTGACTCGACAAGACCACTCACTAGCGACGTTACATGGGGAACAAAAGGCGACAACAGAACCAGCACGGATCTCGGAGTCGTCAAGACAGATGAAAAGAACAACGCCGTCGAAGTCGATACCCCAACAGATAAAGCAGACGTCGACGCTGCTTATGAAAATGCGTTGGCGGTGTTTCGTACAAAGCCGGTAGTGGAGAAGCCAAAACATGATCCTGGGCAGGCAAACACGGATTATTATCAGTCGTTCAGGACTAGGTATGTTGCGGTTTCTCTACATCTATGGGTGGAGGTTGATGCTGTATGCGATAAAGGGTGCTTCTGTCCTGGACCCTGTCGAATGTGAGCTCTATATGATTGCGTTTACTTTCGATTGATAGTCTGATTAATTTACGTCGTTACAGGGCCTCCTTGCTGCCATCGTGGGGTAAATTACCAACGTCGCTCAATTGTTCCGCCATCTCAACCTTACGCTTTAGTTCCGCAACGGGTAATGCAACCTCCGAAGGCGCACAGGAGACCGTCAACGCTTACATGGCCTTTATTCTCTTCTCAGTCGCAGGTTTAGCATGTAGGTCTTACTATTCACCTTACTGTACTCCCTGTCTGCTAGTATTGAATGTTTCGCTAATCGCATTACGTAGTCTTCCGATTCTGCGGCTCAGTCGTATACCTCCTCGATCGCATGTTTGCAGGAGAGTAAACAGACAGACGCATGTACATTCCTGTGTATACTTTATCTGTTTTGTAAGTCGGATGTTCACGGGTATTTCTACGGATTATCTGTCTGTTTGATTCTTTTCCCTTCTACTTTGCTCCGTCTATTCTTCTTTCCCCGCTGACTTCTGCCCATTGTCTTTTTGGTCCCATACGACTGATGGGCAGGTGGTGCATTCTCACTTTCGTATGGCACGTTTGAACACTTCAAAATAACTCACTTTATATTGCAATTTTACTTGATTTGGACTTGAAGCTTCGCGATGTTCAATGTAAAGCGTACGATATACACGCGTACGTATTTATTACATACAGTTACCAAGCAAGCCTAGCCGTCGGTGGCCACCATCACAAAGCACTGTGCAAAGTTAAGATTGATCCTTTACGTAGACTTGCTTCCTCGATCAAGTAGTTTCGTGACCATCTCGAGGTGGTAACAACGCAAAGAAAGCATGATATAAGGCGAATGCAAGCACAACCGTCTGTGCCATACATCATTTACCTTGCTTCATTACCTTGCTAGCAAACAAACGCCACAATGAGTGAAAGCCCGATCCACAATAGTGTCGAAGAAGTAAAACAAGGCAAAACGCCAGGGGAGGACCCGAATCAAGGTGGAGGATCGCGAAACGCATCTGATTCTCCTGACATGGATGCCGCCGAACTAAAAAAGTACGAAGAGTATGTAAAACGTCAGACAGTGAGATCTGAGAGTCCAGGACCAGATGACAAACGCATTGAAGAAGACAGGAAAAGGAAGTAAAGCCAAAACAACTAAGATACAATAAGCAGGTCGGATTTCACGCCTTGGTGACATCTCAATGCATACAGGAGATAAACAATACCTTCTATGTAGTTGCCTAGATTAACGAATGTGATACTTTGTGTTTGCAGTAATACAGGAAGTCCATTCGCCGAGAAATCCAATTATAAGATTGCTTCCCGTTAATCTTCCCTTTATCGTTGCGGGGTAGAGCATGCAATTTAGTCAGTCACATAAGGCTTGCCCGTGTGCCAACAGAACCCGACTCTGGCGGAACAGGCATTTCTCCGCTTCGATCGGACACGAAAGCGCTATATCTAAACACGCAAATCAGAAACACAAGTTACGAGTGAGAAGAGCATAAAACCAGAAAGCTCACATGAGTTGTAGACGAACTCGCTCTTCTAGAGGAACAGATGGCCGTGTCGAGGTTAATGATCGGCGAATATGCTCCTCCGTTATTTCATGCTGGTGTTCATACCGTAATAAATACGACGACGAAAATCAATGATTTAGTATTAATACTCACAACTTGCTTTGCAGCAGCAATTGCCTGAGGCCGCTCAGCTTCCTTCCCGCTTCTCTTGGCGCCACGGTTTGCAAGTATCCTTTGCAGCTGAGATGCCGCTCCGTAAGTCCACCTTTGCGTGGATGCGAAAACAGGAAGTTACCTTCTTCTGGAGCGCGGCTTCCTCAGCCTTTGACCGATGTGCATCTTCCTCACGTCCTCCAAGGATAACGTACTCTATCCGCTGCTCTTCTTCACCTGTATCTCCTGTGTCCTTTGCTTTCCCTTTCCCTTTCCCCTCTGAAGATTGCTTTTCTGCTAAAGTAGAGTGGACGACATCGAGATGCGCGTTATAAATTACAGCCTGCAAGTCAGCTCCAGAGAAGCCTTCGGTTGCTAGAGCTATAGCATCCCAGTCAACGAATGGTGAGACGGTGACTTTCTTGCTGATGACTTCGAGGATCTATTACGCCAAAGTTAGCAATATTGCATTACCAAGTTCCCAATGAATTGAAGACAGCCTACCTCTTTTCGCTCGTCGAAATCCGGCATATCACAAAGTAATGATTTGTCTAGTCGACCTGGCCGAAGTAATGCTGAGTCAATAAGGTCGGGTCGGCTAGCAATATCTTTATTAGTTCGAGTAGTTTAAGGTTGAAGAATAAGGGTACCTTGTCGCAGCGAGAACATAAACACCATCAAGTCCCTCCGCACCATCCATCTGCGTTAACATCTGATTAACCACACGATCCGTAACTCCCGTACTATCGTGACCTCTGGAAACTCATCATTAAGCTACTCCACGCGAAGGTGTGAATCACAAGCCAATACCTTTTAGGCGCAATCGAATCAAACTCGTCAAAAAAGAGTACACAAGGTTTTGCGGCACTGGCTCTTTCGAACAAGTCTCGTACCTATCGCTAATATTTACTAAGCGTACAGACCAAGAAAGGTGAAATCTTACCGATTTCTCGCTAGCTCCAATGTACTTATTTAGTAGCTCAGGTCCCTTCACACTTATGAAGTTGAGACCGCATTCCCTGGCTACAGCAGATGCAAGTAACGTTTTTCCGCATCCAGGATAACCGTACAGCAAAATCCTAACTAAACATATGAGAAACAGTCTCAAATATCTGCTTGGACCACATACCCAGAACGCAAACGGAGAGGGCACTTTGCGAAGATGGCAGCATATTTAGTCGGCCATTCCAGCGTTTCCCGCAAGATTTGCTTTGTCTTCCGAAGACCTATACAAAGAGACATTCGTGATTCAAAGATCATTGTTTGCACGTAAGAGATACATACCTCCGATATCCGACCACGTCACATCAGACTTCTGTAGCTTCAAGTCTCGTAATGACAAGGGTACGAAGTCGACCTGTGCCTTCTCGAAGTCCACCGGAAGAATTTCCTTAGTCAAGTCAAGTCAAAGTCAACAAAAAATCATCAACAACAAAAATGACTCCTTGAAGGAAAGAGGTACCTTGGTCTCTAAGCTTGCCTTGTTCGACCGGATAGCTGCCTCATGCACCGCTCTCGAAACGAGATCATTCAAGTCAGTTGGGAGGTAACCTTCCGTCTGTGTCGCCAATGCTGTGAAGTTTATCGGGTTCTCGGCACTCTGCGTTAATTCAGGTGCCACTTCCGTTCGTCGCCTGACGCTTTGCGAAAGGATCTAATAGTCACATTTAGACAGTCGATCTGGTAAAGCAAGTTTAGATGCATACATCCCGCCTCGCATCTTTATTAGGTGGCATCAACTTAAACGTCGACTTGAATATATGCGATCGCATAACTCGCGGATGTAGAGCTGTGTCAGACTCTGCCGTCGCAACGATAGAGACACCTCGAGTATCCGTCCTCCTGTGAGTGAAATGTAGTAAAAATAATTCCGTTAGCTGCCTCGAGCGGTAGCTGTCCGCGTGCTATAGTGAGTTGCATAAGAGTCAGCTGTAGTTATGACATGAGACGGAGGAGGCGTACTTCGAGCTCCGCGCTGAGTAGTTTATCCATATTATCAATTACCAAAGTAGTCGGTCTTTGCCAAGCTGCTTTCTCGTATAGATATCTGAAGTACGCTTTTAGTCGAGGGACTCGCTCGTCTGCAAGCTTGGCGAAGTCCACGTAGATAACATCTGCAAGGTTAAATGCCAAATTTCTAGATTAACGTGTTCTAAAGGATTGAATGAACTACGAACGCGCGAGAAGGAACGACGATTCTACCATCTTAGCCACCGCTTTTGCGACACTCGTCTTCCCAGAACCCGGTCTTCCCGTAATAAGAATTCCCTGCACTACGACGACATTGACCACATATACAACATAGGATACAAATGGTGAACATACCACTTGGAATAGAAATATCAAAAATATTGTGTGAAGCATGAATATTCTGAAGCGCATTAGAACACTTTTCCAAGAAATCATCTATTCCGGCTAGATCATGATGCCGCTTCGCGTCTATCCATCTGCGATCATTGATTAGAAACAGAGTGTTGCCTGCTGCGAAACACTCACTTTAAGGACGAGACATCCTCCGTCACACGTAGCGTCTTCGACTTCGGTGTAGAAGCGAGGATACTGTCCTTGCAGACGCAAATGCCTATTTTAATATTTTATAGCAAAGTATGACGAGATTTCACTGACCAACAGTTCCAATCTTTCACTCCGTCATAACCCAAGAAAAGAACATGGCCATCTGGTATTTCCCGCGACCAACATAGTGTAACCGTCTCCCTCTCGTTTGTCGATATCGATGGCGCCTCAGAGCCCGGTTTCGCCGAGCCATTCGCCTGCGCTCCCTCTGGTGCATGAATCACCTTCGATCCTTGTTGCGCGGCGGGAACCGGCGCAGTAGGCTCACTTGCAAGAGGATCTGCAGATGCTTTGAGTCGATACACATTTATCGGACCAAACCCTTCTGATTCAGAAAGCGGTAACTTTGTTGAGATCAGCTCCCAATAGGTCGCTATCGATACAAGCGCAACTGGTTCAGAAGGAACCGATCCAGATGGAGAGAAGAACGAGGAAGGGAGAGCACGGAGCCTGAGTGACTTCAGGATCTTCGGTTCAGAGCTACGTTTCCCGTCGGTATCTGATTTAGATATTGAGGTGCTTTGCTTTGCTTCCGCTCCATTAACCCGTCTTTTAGGTGCAATGGAAACTTCCGTATCGGTGCCAAGCAGGACAGCTTCATGCTTTCCGGGTGCGGGATCAAACGAAACTGAAGGAGAGGCAAAATAATTGAGAGGTCGTGCCGAAAAAGTTAAGAAGCAGCATACCAACTCGTAACCTCGCTCTTGTTCGTCCGAATATCCAAACATCAACCTCCTGTCCAACACTCGCAGCCCGAACCTGCGAAAGCAGGTTCTGCTCCACATACGCAGCATGGAGTTCCTATACAAACGTTCCCAATCAGCAATTGCCATTGAGCCCGGCATAGGGAAACTACAGACTATTATCTCCCAGTCATCCGCAGAATACGGCTCTGTGGTGACGGACTTGGCAATCGGTAGGTCATGCAACAAGCCGATCTCAACCTGCAAATAAAATAAGAACCATTAAGATGAATTTACCTCGAAATAGTTCACCGGCTCGAATACGTACAATATCACCCAAACTCAATCCAAGCCCGCTTGCAAACTGCGGATCAATCTCAATCGTCTCAAGCCCTTCGGATTCAGATCCTCCAGCAGAACTGCCCTTAAACCTCGCTAGAGAAGAAGCCGAAGCCATACCCGTCCACCCAACGTAAACTCCCTTCTTTTCTCCTTTCGCGCCTGCGTTCGCACGAGCAACTCTCCCGTTACTCAAAGCAGAGCCATAACTTGAGACAAGGAGTAAATGTACAGCGAGGTTTTGCGGCCTCTACTCATTGCAGTGATAATTTATCACATGTCAACTCATAATGTAACTTGTAGAAGTGATTCCTGTAACGCACAACATGATGCTCAACAAGCGGGCCATAAACCGATATAGGAAGGTTAACGAGTGAAGAACGAAGCGAGACGAACTCAATCCGTGCACGTCGAGGCATCAAAGCAGTGAGGAAATAAGTGAGGAGAGGAGCTGCGACGCGTCGCGGAGTTAGCGCGCGCTTGACACCCAATTTGGTAATCCTTCAGTCCAGTCTTCAATCAACACACTCTACAACACGTCTAAAACATTTTTCTTTGCATCTACTGCGTTTTCTGCACACTCTAGAGCAACTCTGAACAATGTAAATACAAAAGGACAAAAAGAAAAACACTCAGGGCGCTGCGGGGAATTGAACCCCGGACCTCTCGCAAGTGACTGTACCCGAAGCGAGAATCATACGACTAGACCACAGCGCCATCATATAAAGAGGTATATATAGAAATCTCCTATCTCATGACGCAACCCACTCACACTGTTAATGCAATCAAGCAGAATGTACACTGTAAAGTTACAAAGAAAGGCACTATGGATAGAATTAATATGTTTGATAGTAATTCATCTACAGAGATAAGTCAAGGAACAGTAGATAGGTACAAATTCACATAAATATTGTGACTAAGCAAGCAGGATTAAGCAATGTATGGGGCATCATTAATAATTATCGTCGTATCAGAATAGCTAGATAGCATGCGAAAGAAAGCAAGAAAAAAACGATAGATGGTACCGTAACTATAAAGGGTATACTTCAAGGTCTAACCCGGTATATCTCGAAACAAGCGGAAAGAAGACTCTTCGCGTCGGGCTGATGATAGGAGGGATGATCATACCTCCTGCAAGGCCTTTCTTATGCCACGCGTCGACTGTAACGCGTATGTATCAATATCCGAGCAAGTTATTGGAGGAAGGAACACGCTCACCTAAAGGCTGCCCAAGTACTCCAATAACGAAATACACCCACACCCTCCCAAACCATCCACCAACCCGTCTCCCAGTACCGACTCTCCAAACCCTCTCAAGAATAACAAGCACACCCTGCAACACAAAGAACAAAACCACCCTCCCATCCATCCCACGCCCCATAGCCGTACTCGACAACTCATGATACACACCCGAAGCCGCAAACGTTCCCAGCACCATCCCTATTTTCCCCAAAGTGCCGTCGCCAAGAAGGAAATGCACCGGCCGCCCACCAAACGTAAGGAACGTCTGCCTTAGAAGCTGATGCCACCGTTTCGCCCAAAACGAATGAAGCGAATCAGACGACCAGGGTCTATCCATGATAGGAGGCCAACTCGTCGGGTCATGGCATAATACCCCAACGCCAATCAACGTACACAAATCATAAACCATTTGGAAACCCGCAAGTAAAGCGAATCCGCTCCCGAAATGAATGGCAGTGCTCAGTCCGTATCGTTCAAGAGGAGGCAGGTGATCCAGGAAGATAGACCCGCCTGTGGGGAGACCGACACCAGGAACGAGCTTGATCAACGATTCCAGCAAGTCTAGCGCAAGAAAACTGTACAAGAACGACGAGAGGGTCGTAAGCAAGAACGGTCCACGACTGAGCGGCCTCTCTTCCTTTGGTATATACACTCCTTTCCCCCAGTCCCATCCTACACCGCGCGCAGCACATACAAGTTCAAGTCCGTCTTGTAACCAAAGCGGTAGGATACTCGAGAGAGGTCTGTTGCGTCCTCGTGTTGGTGGTATGTATCCGTTTGAAATACGACGTGTTGGGTCTTTGGGGTCATAATCCTTCTTGCTGATTGCGGGCGTCTGTACATCTCCCGGACGTTTCTCGCCGACTTTATAATGTCCATTGGGGACGAGTGCATAGTCCAGTGCCTTTCCAAGCACCATTAACCCAACCAAGGCTGCGTAGCATATTTCGATTAGCCTTTACCAAGCAGAAAATCTCGCCAGCTCACCTTCACCCCAATTATACACATTCCTCCCTCTCCCAACCCATACATACCCAAAACACGAATGTAACGTCACAGCAACAGTCGACGGAAGCATAAGCACGCGAATCAAATGCGTATCAGGTCTCCTCGCGAGGTACGCCATGAACAACAACGGAAGAAAAAACAAAAGCGTATTGGGAAATGTAGTCCATGTTATTTGTATCCTATCCTCAAGTGCTGGGACGAGTAGACGAAAGAAACGGGTCACGCCGAGTGATAACCTAAGTACACAAGTCGCGAGCGAAGACAGAGAAACGTGCGTCAGTCAGGAGTCAAAACAGAACCTTGATTTTCTCAAGACGATATCCGATGTCCGAAAGAACGCACTCATCTAGAGGTAACGTATTGGACGCCATCCCGTCCCACTTGTGCAAACAGTCAAAGAACGAATGGTGGTAGGACGGACCCACACACGACCTCGGTCGGCCGCTTATAAGTTTGCTGCTGGAGCATGACGTGCCGCAGCCTGATTGCCCGTGCTGACTCAATTCATCGGACAAGACAAACTTGCGGCAGTGTCGGGGGTAACAAACACCAATATGGAATTACACTAGGAATAAGCTTACACTAACAACATAACGTTCGTTGAAGCTACAAAATCGTACGTCACTAGAAAGGAGCATGAAGAAAGTGAATGCCCTTGAAAGGAAAACAGTGATGGCAGTCCGCGTAGGAAAGTCCGAGAAAGACGAAAATAGAAAAGCGTATGTAGAATTCAAGTCCATGGCATTATACTGAAGACGGTACGATTCATGTCAGAGTCCATGGATGACAACAACGAATAAATCAAGGCAATTGTCCGATCACGGAGTGTCCACTGCAATAATTGTCTGTAGTGTACGAGGTAAAGTTCAAGAGCTCGTGGCGTTATAGACGATCGAATTAGCCGCAAGGCTCATATTATGTCCAATCGTAGGCTAGAAAAAGCAATCCACTCAACAAAAGGTTTCTGAAATCTGCATGCACATATACGCACGTTGCATTCGTTCCATTCCTCTATGACGGCAAGGTACATCGGTACATCGCTAGCAGCAAGGCCCGTGCTGAACCCACCATAAGGTTTCGAAAAGTCAGGCATCGTCAACTGCGATGGGGGTGGGTTCGGGGGATTGGTGTTAGCTAGTCAAAGTTCGTTTACGTATCAATAAAAACTCGTATTATTATAGAATTTGAGAATGATTACGCACTGACTGTCGAGTACGCGAATCTTCCAAAATACCATCCTGTAGCCGTGCCACCGTTCACCATATCGAGTACGGATGACGGAGGACTCGTAAGGAGCCAAACAGAAAAGTTAAAAGAAGAGAGACAGTAGTCTCCACGCTGGTTATAGACGAAGTCGAATGCTTGGCCAGGCGCGATCTTGGTTCCGTTTTCCGGTTTGGATATAGTGCCTTGTGGCCAGTATCGCTCTTCAAGATCGCTTCGAACGTCAAGAGAAACATGTTCGAAAGAGGGCGTCGGTGACGAGAAGACGGGTGGCAAGAGGAGCGAGGAGAGCGCGAGGACAGATGACAGAGAGAATATCATCTTAGTAGTCGTCGAGGGTATGTTTTTTTTCGCTGTGGGTATTGGGCGTTGACTTTGAGTTTGACATGCAAGCCCTCATGCAGCCCGAGTTTTATAGCAATCTAATAAATAAATTGTCGGCCGCGTAACGCGCGGGTCCGGATCCGACAAACAAATATACTCATAGCCTTGCCCTGGTCTAACATGAACAGCAATATCCGGTTCTGATTTCCCCTCATGGATATAGACATGCCCTGCATCGTCGGATCTCATTCCCCGACAGCGGACAGGTTCGCGCATTCAAATGCCGGATTAGAATGAGATGCGCCATGTGTAAGAACGCCTGTGTGAGAGAGCTTTTGAGCAGGACGGCTTCAGTCAGCCTTCGAGGCGTCGGCACCTCAGGTCGGTCCCGCAACTTCCCGAGAGACAAACATGCACTAATACTCCGTCAATAACCGCTGACAGGCATAGAATTTGTGTACGTTTTGTCATTTCCTCCATTGGTACAAGCACGATTTACCGCTGGGAAGGCTGGCATTCGAAATCCGGGAAACAAATCGCTGCCTGTTGTACTTACGGCAGACAATTCGCCGGTCAATACAGACCGCAAATCATCGGAACTTTCGAAGCACACCACGCAATTAGTTCCACAAGTCAACGCAACTCAGTCATCATATGCATCTCATGCCGATGGGAACAAACAAAACAAAAGCAACTACAGCCGACATATGAACGGTACGGCGCGGTACGGCGCGAAGTGGTCCATTCCTTGCGGACTTTCCCTTCTTGATACTCACGTAGACCACCGAAGCACAGCATCAATCCACCGAATCTCAATGCCAAGAAGTATGTCACATACGGCACCGACTCCGAAAGAACACACAACCCTCATACGAAGACCTCTGGTGGAGTGGCTTACCTTCTATATTCTAGATCGTCGGTGCTGCTCGCCGTTGCGTGCGATAAATCTGTCCGGCGATGCATGCAGATCTATCATCTAGGTAAGCCTCGTGCAATTCGAGACGTGCTTCAGGCATAGCATCCCTGCCGCTGATCATCCAAACAACAAAACTCGTGCCTCGAATACAAACGTCATTCACTCGACCAAACGTGGTTTCCATGCAACGGGTCAAGGTAGTCCTGCCATACGTCCAATCAAACATCAGGTACAATTGAGTTCGTCCACCTGCTGTATAAGAGATTAAACTGACCGTCGAAGCATAATAGACATGATTATTGGAGAAACTTATGTCAACTATCAATATAAGCTCTCGGATCTAAGAGAAGCATTCAGTGAATCGATAACACTGTACAAATCATACTGAGGGAATTTCTTTGCAAATATAACAATTTGACTTGCTCAGCCCAACTTTGTTTGTGCATCATGAAGTCTGACATTGTTGGTCAACAATCAAGTTTCCAGAGTATTATTGTAACATTGACGTTTAGATATCTCTTAGCTTATAGTATATAAAGAGTCACGATAATAATCCATATGCAAATTTCTACAAGTATAGACTTCCCTGCTCTTGCACTCAAAGGTTTCTACTGCAAATAAAAAAGTGCACCAAAATATATTATTTCTAGACCCTCAAGGCTCTGACTGTTTACACAATACATTTCTTTCAATGCAAATAGTCTAATAAATGTTGGATACAACCCGTCATGTACAGCAAAGTCCGTTATCCATAGCACCAATACTACGTCAATTACTACAAACAACGTTCCCATCCACCCAAAGCACACACCCACTACATAACACTCACCAACCAAGAAAAATCCAATTAAAACCACATCATCATCATCATCATCATTAATCATTAATCATTAATATCTATAATTCGACAAATCACCAAATACCTCCCTCCCATCGTCAGTAAAATACACCAACACCAACGGAACGTCAGGCGGACTCGGTGCACCTTCCCTTACGAAGTTATTTGAACGACGGGTATGGGTACGGGTACGTTGTCGACCCCTCTGGTCGCCTCGAGGTGTTGCAGTAACTTGTAAATTAGAGGTGTTAGAGTTCGTACTTGAGTTTGCCGACATTTTTTTCTTGAGCGACTTGTTATGATTTGATGATGCGTCGGGTGGGTGGGTAAAGAGACGACAATGAAAATGATTGAGTGTTCAGAGTATGTAGTGAGCAGCAAGAGTGAAGTCTTGTAAATGAGTATATAGGTTTCGAAGACGCCCAGCGACTAGGTTTCAAAGAGCACGGAAAAGACCCCCCTCATGGCTTTTTTTATACATTGTAAATCTTCTAACGGCCACTATCTTGCTTGACCAACCACACCAGGACACTCAGAACACGGAATGTTGCTCAGAAAATTGTGATCCCGGTAACCGTTTGCAATTGATGGCCACAAGTCAAGCGCAGACACATGTTTTTGAGCCACTGGTGCCGCGAACGAGACATCCGGAGGCATGAAACGCTGAGTTGAGTGTTGTAGTTGTAATAGAGTGGTTCGCCTTCTTCAGGATAAGACAAAGGAAGTGGATGTCTTGCATATCAAAGAACCACCTGAGAATTCAAGAGTCTAAGAGGACACGTCGATTATTATATATCATGTATTGCCCAACAACATTCTACAAAACAAACAAATCAACATTCGCACTAACAAACGTCCAGACTCAACTGTATGACTCACAAATGTACTCTCACCCAACCTCAAGACCTCAAACCGAACCCACAAACCTCTGAGGCCTAAACATAAACCTCACAGTACCCTCATTCCTCCCAAGTCCCTCAGTATCCACCGATCCACTCCGGTTCAACACGTCTTCTGCCACACCACCAGCATCGAACCCTGTCGGCATCGTCGACCCACCAGAATCAGTATCGCGTGGCCGCGCGGGGTGCTCTACCTCCCGTAAATGAATCTTTAACCGTAAGAGCCAATCATGCTTGAATGGCGGAGGTGGCGGGGCCTGTTGAGCTTGTTGATGTTGATGTTGGGAAGGATGTAGAGAGGAAGAGTGTGAATGGTGTGGTGTGCGAGGAGATGCGTAGGCGTGAGGGGATGGTGAGGAAGGTGTGCTTGGAGACGTTGTCGCTGAGGGATTTTGAGCAGCGTGAATGAGGAGATCGAGTAAATGGTGGCATATTTCTACGCAAAATAGGAGAATAACGAAGTCAGTCTAATCTTCGCAAAGGAAACTAAAGCAATCACCTTCCAAATCCTCTATACAAGCTTTGTACGTATGCTCCCATTCACCACCCTTCTCAAGCATGGCAACTACTTCAGCGCATGAACGTGTATTTGCAGGAGGCTCAGGTTCCGAAGGTTGCTCAAACGTCGATAACAAAGCCGCAAGATATATACAAGCCAGTGCAACGACATGAGGCGGATATTGCAACGGCGCTAACGTTCGGTTACTGAAAGAATTGAAAAAGTTGCGATGCAACCGAAATACAAGAACGACAGGTATCAAAACAGATTGTCGTGGCTAAGTTGACGTCAGACGTACCTATCAACAGCGAGTCTCCATGCAAAGCGAGTGTGAGCTTTTGATGCGCGTAAAGACCGTCCGATTTTGATGACGTATGGAAACGACATGCGCACGGTGAAGTTGAAACAAACGGTTTCCAGTACGAGTCGTTCGATGCCTAGTAGATGTTGCCGATCTTGCTCAACTGTCTACAACGTGCACAACTTACTCAGTACGGGATAGAAGATAGGCAAGCGAAATGTTTTTAAAAAAGGAGTTGGACACCTACCGCAGGATCGATTTCAACTTCACCTCCAACTGCTTTGGAACGTGCCGCGAGTTCGGGAAAGCGTACAGTATACGACACCATCAGGATATCTCGCGGCTTCTTTAGAGTGTCGTGCATCTTCGTCGAGACGTAAAGACAAGCCATCGTGACGTCCTGCAGGAAACGTAAACACTTAGAGCCCATTTGCTTAGTATAATTAAGGTATATACGCACATAATAGTTGAATTCCTTCCACGGAAAGAACAAATGAAAGCGGTGGTACAAATTTTGGGCCGTCGCAATCGTCTTCCTAGGACTAATATCCTTAGTAATGGCGTACATTCTGAGAGAATAAGTACTCACAAACCGATCTTCAAGCCAACTGCTTCGATGAATGCACATGCCTGCTGGCGAAGACGTTCCTGCGGTGCGGAGAGCTTTCCACGTTGTTTCTCGGATAGGAACTCGACGTCTGCAGGTGAGAAATAAGGGTGGTGAAACTTGACATGAGAAGCGGGTAGCTGAGATGGAGATTGTGGCATTTGCATTGAGTAATGCCCAGGATCCATGACTGCACTTGCTACAACTTGTAGTAAGCGCTGAAGAACTTGCAGGCAGAAATGACGAGCGTCGATCACATATCCTGATATGGAAGGAGGATCGCATCACCAGAAGACGACGCGCGTCCGTGTCATCCGCGTCCAGCCCACCTCATCCTCATCCTCTCTTTCTACTGCCACCATGTCCGACATCCAGAAGGAAGCACCTGCAGAGCCAGTGGCAATGGACACCACGCCTGAAGAGACAAAGCCTGTAGAAGAGACTTGGGATGATATTCCGGAGGAGATTATGGCTCTTACCGCAGACGAAATTAATTCTCGAATACGACTTATTGAGAACGACATTAAGGTGCGCCTATTGCTACTCTAGCTGTAGATTCAAGGTAACTCACCCGTCGAATAGGTTATGCGCTCAGAGACGTTACGACTTCAACACGAGCAAAGTGTAATGAAGGAGAAGATTCGCGACAATAAAGAGAAGATCAAGCAGAATAAAGTCCTTCCATATCTCGTTGGCAATGTTGTAGAGGTATGCCGGTCTCACTCATCCTGTATTTTATTACTCATTAGAGTGGTATAGATTCTTGACATGGATCCTGAAGGCGAAGAAGACGGTGCAAACCAAGACCTCGATTCAATGCGCAAAGGGAAATGTGCCGTAATCAAGACCTCCACCCGACAAACCGTATTCCTTCCATTAATAGGTCTCGTCCCCGCTGAGAAGCTCAAGCCAGGGGATCTCATTGGCGTCAACAAAGATTCATATCTTATCCTCGATCTCCTACCAGCAGAGTACGATTCACGTGTGAAAGCAATGGAGGTCGACGAGCGACCGACGGAAACCTATACGGATATCGGAGGTCTCGACAAGCAAATTGAGGAACTTGCCGAGGCTATCGTACTTCCAATGCACCACGCCGACAAGTTCAAGGCACTTGGGATTAAGCCACCAAAGGGCGTGCTTATGTATGGTCCTCCCGGTACGGGAAAGACCCTCATGGCTCGTGCATGTGCCGCACAAACCCAAGCATGTTTCTTGAAGCTTGCTGGTCCTTCACTTGTGCAAATGTTCATTGGTGATGGTGCGAAGCTCGTTCGAGACGCGTTTGAGCTTGCAAAGGAGAAATCTCCTGCAATCATCTTCATTGATGAGTTGGATGCCATTGGGACGAAGCGGTTTGACTCGGAGAAAAGTGGTGATCGTGAAGTACAAAGAACCATGTTGGAGTTGCTCAACCAACTTGATGGATTTAGCAGCGACGACCGCATTAAGGTACGCGATTACTTCTTGAGATTTACACGTTTACCTTACCAACGACTATGTAGGTGATTGCCGCCACAAACCGAATCGACATCCTTGACCCCGCGCTGTTACGTTCAGGACGTCTGGACCGTAAGATCGAGTTCCCTCTCCCTAACGAATCCGCACGGGCACGCATTCTCGAAATCCACTCGCGTAAGATGACATTGACGGACGACGTCAACTTCGAGGAACTTGCACGTAGTACAGACGAGTTCAACGCTGCGCAGCTGAAGGCTGTCTGCGTTGAAGCGGGTATGATCGCACTTCGTGAAGGTGCAAGTGTTATCCATCACGAACATTTCCACTCTGGTATTGCTGAAGGTGAGTTCGCGTTTAGGTTCATGTGTCTTACAGGTACTAATTATCCTTGCAAATTTCAGTACAAGCGAAAAAGAAGAACGACCTTATTTACTTCGCTTAACGCTTTTCACAATTTTCTTTTGTCTTTTATTATTCACGTAACGCACAAATTTCAATTTTTAATGCACACTTTTCATCACAGAGTCAGAAAGACGAGCAACATCGTTATAGCCCCATACAAGATGTCGAATCAGGTGACCAGAAGGAAATCGCAACCACTCAATCATCAAATATATCGAAATCAAGACCCCAGTCTTTACTCGGGTTCACCGTGCGCATCGGCTTGTGCAAAACAGCGGCGGCTTCAAGCTCCTCAAATAAGTCGTCCGGGAGTGCCCGTACTACAAGAAAAAAAAGTCAGCCCAAATAAGTTCCGGAGTCATTGATGACAGGTTGAGACCTACTTTCAAAGTTTTCTCTGATGCGTGAAGGTGTAACGCTCTTCGGCAGAACAATCGTCTTTAAGAAAAATATAAATACAGGTGAGTAGAGTGAGCATTGACTGCGAGAAAGGGAAGAGGTTGGGGCTGACGAGAAGAGAGACTTACACCACGCTGGACGTGCCACGAGATAACAACTTGCGCGGGAGTCATACCGAGCTGGTTTGCGATCTTGTTGATCTATGTAGTTTATACAAATAACACCATAAGAGAGCAAACCATGACTAAACGATGGGACTAACTGTAGGTTCTCTCAACGTTTCCTTAACCTGCTTACTCCCGCCTAGAGGAGAGTACGCTTCGACAGGTAAATCGTTTTCCTTCGTCCACTAGTAATAAAAATTGTACATCATCGATTCGCACTTGGAGGGACTGGATGAAGTGGGAAACGCAAAATTACTGTACCTTGACTAGCTCGGGTTGAGGATTCCAAAAGCTGAGCTCCACTTGTAGAACAGCCGGTTTTACTTTGAGCGGGTTTGCCGTGAGGTTTTGAATTCTAGATGGTCACGTCTGCGAGTAAGGACATCAGAAAACGATTGAACAGTGAGGCCAAATACCGCCTTATGTTAAAGCTGTTAAGGAAGCGGAGGAATAAAAGTGACGTTTAAAACGGAATATAGGAAGAATGGTAATTATATACGTACTTGCTAATTCCGATATTCCTCACTTTCCCCTTCTCGACCATCTCTTCGAGCTTTTGCCAAGTCGGATAGGGATTCTCGCTTAGTTCCGGATCGTAGACGCTCTTCCCATCTGGACCTGTTCCTTTCTTGAACGCAATCGGCCTTCAACGTGGAAGAGTATTATTATCGGAGGAAGCAATGTCGGGGGAATAACGATGTAACAGACCAGTGCATGAGATACAAGTCTAGGTATTCAGTACCCAGAGAGTTAAGAGATTCGTCTAGAGCTTGTTCGACGTCTTCATGAGCATGGAAGCTATTCCAGAGCTAGTCAAGAATAATGTCATAAATGTCATCATGGTGTACGAAACGTATGAATCACAAACCTTTGAAGTGAGCCAGATATCCGTTCGCGGAACGCCACTCTCTTTAATCGCTTGACCGACTTCTCCCTCATTCTACGTGGAAAGTATCATAAAGTAAGATGATAGGCCAAGGCTTTCTCATTTTTGGACTATTCATACGCGATAAATCCAAGCGTCGTCAATATGGTGGTAGCCAGCCTTCAAAGCAGTCTTATTCACAAGAAAATATCCATTAATCAGCCCATACTGGAAAAAAAAGAGGAAGTAGTACCTTGACAGCAGGGCCAACCTCGCCCTTTCCAGCCTTCCAAACACCTACATGAGCCCTTCCTCAGATTACAGATAAGTGTTAAAAAAAGATTCACCGCCGCACCAAGTGCAACAGACGGAATTCTGTCACCCGAAGGAAGGTCAAAATGTGAGGGTAGAGTACTGAGTCCAGCCTTAAGAGAGGAGTGTCTATGGCATGAAGACCAGCCAAGCCTCAAGGAAGACGACTTAAGCGACCGAAACCCGGCAAATGCTAAATACATGATTGCGACAGCCACTAGTACGCGAGTAAAAATAGATTTAATGCGGAAAGTGGGTCGACTGTCTTTGAAAAGCTTCGGACTTGATATGTTCTTGTTGCTGTAAACCAGGTCGTCGTCAGAAGTAGCTAATGGTTGGTAAGACATGGTAAGTTGTGGGAGAGTTGCATCGTGCAGTTCATTGTATTAGTAACGTGTGACGTCGAATGACTTCAATTCCACATCTACACATTGCAGTTGGTCGATCCACGCGCACGTGATAATAAAATATCTAAAAATAGTAGGCACCTTTCCTTCGGTTATGGATAACTCGTGAGGTACAAGAATTCCGATATCAGGATAAAAATCAGCGAGGTACATCGTTACAGATTCATACAAGATTTGTACCAGGAGACAAGAAGGAAAAATAATCGCTCAATCATCGAATATGTCAAAATCAAGACCCCAAGCGTTACTTGGGTTTATCGTGCGCATAGGCTCGTGCGAAACGGCAGCGACTTCAAGTTCTTCAAATAAATCGTCGGGGAGTGTCCGTACTGAAAGAGAAATCAATCCAAAATGAGCTCCGGTACTGTTGATGATAGGGTAAGACTTACTTTCGAGATTTTCTCTGATGCGTGAGGGTGTGACACCCTTCGGCAGAACAATTGTCTTTGAAAAGGATAGGATGAGAAGGAGGCACGGGGTTGAACAGGATGTGAAGAAAGACTTACACCACGCTGGACGTGCCACGATATAACTACTTGTGCAGGGGTCATGCCGAGCTCGTTTGCAATTTTGTTAATCTGTAAGTACAATATGAGCGATACCATCGCACAGTAACCAAGCTGATATAATAATAGTGTATACCGTAGGTTCCTTCAACGTTTCTTTGACCTGCGCACTCCCACCCAGGGGCGAGTATGCTTCGACAGGCAGATTGTTTTCTTTTGCCCACTTGTAGGACAGAAATAATTTTATCAGCAATTCGCGCATGAAGCCGATTACAAGAATTAGGAGAGGATTAGCCACTATACCTTGACTAGCTCGGGTTGTGGATTCCAAAAGCTCAGCTCCACCTGCAAAACGGCTGGTTTGACTTTGAGCGGGTTTGCTGTGAGGTTCTGGATTCTGCACAGCCGCGTCCATTGGTTAGTACATCCGAACGCAGTAGAACGTTACAGTCTATTACCGTCTTATGTTAAAGCTGTCAAACAAATTGCTCAAATGCGAATACTAGAACAAAATGTCTATATGCGCACTTGCTGATCCCGATATTCCTTACTTTCCCTTTCTCGACCATCTCTTCGAGCTTCAGCCAAGTCGGGTAGGGGTTGTCACTTAGTTCGGGGTCGTAGGTGCCTGTTTCCTTCTTGAACGCAATAGGCCTTGAACGAGCACACAGAAAGAAGAAATCGGACTAAGAAAACAGACGAATTGGAAAATAAGGATGTGACGTACCAATGAACTAGATATAGGTCCAGGTATTCAGTACCTAGTGCATCTAGAGATTCGTCTAGAGCTGGCTCGACGTCTTCAGGAGCATGGAAATTATTCGCAAGCTAGTACATTGAAATAATATCACGTTCACCATCGTTTGCATACCAAATATAATGAATTGCCAAACCTTTGAAGTTATCCAAATGTCGGTACACGGAACACCGCTTTCTTTTATAGCCTTACCAACTTCTTCCTCGTTCTTAAATAAAAAGAGTCACATAATTAGATAACAGTCCGTGACTTCTTTGACTTTAATTCTGCTGAGATATGAGCATACTGTAAGGAAACTCACTGTTCCTCACAAGAGAATTCTAATCGCCCTTAGTTCACTCAACTACTGACTGGGATAACCTAGTACTCGAGCGAGGGGTCAGGGGAAAAGAATCCCCTTTACCCAGCGGTCGATACTGTCTTTTATAGGGGTATACACGTGTAGATACATGAGGAGAAAGTGTAACTAACTACAATGAGAATATATGCGCTTGTGGGTCCCACTGCGCGATGATCTGACGCGATCAGCAATGTAGTAGTAATAAAATACGAACCAGTAAATCAAATCCTTACACATACGTACGCGATAAGCCCAAGCGCCATCAATATGGCGGTAGCCAGCTTTCAGAGCAGTCTTGTTCACAGGAAAGTATTCATTAATAAGTTCTCGCCGGAAGAAAGAAAAGACACAATACCTTAACAGCCGCGCCAACCTCGCCCTTTCCGGCCATCCATACGCCTAGTTCTTCCTCAGATCATATATAAGTGTATAAATAAGATTCACTGCCGCACCGAGCGCAACAGATGGGATTCTATCACCTGAAGGAAGATCAAAATGAGAAGGAAGAGTTCCAAGTCCAGACTTCAGAGAAGAGTTCCTGTGGCATGAGGGCCATCCGAGCCGCAAAGAAGATGATTTGAGCGATCGAAGCCCAGCAAGTGCGAAATAAATGATTGCGATGGCCGCAAGTATGCGAGTGAAGATTGATTTCACACGAAAGCTGGATCGACCGTCCTTCAAAACCTTTGAACTTGATATATTGCTGTTATTTTGAACGGCATCGCCGTCGAAAGTAGCTAATCGTTGGTAAGACATGGTGAGTTGTGGAAGAGTTATATCGGAGCAGTTAGCAACGTGCGACAGCCAATCGTGTTCAATTTCGCACAATCAGTTGAGCCATGTGCACGTGATTTTGAAATATCTAAAAATAGTATTTCCCCTCATTTACGGATAACAGCCACTGCCAGTGTTGGTACGCGAACATCCATATTACAAAAAAATACGGAATCAGAGCAGCTTTCTCATCCTATCTAGGGTAGTTGTAGGGTTACGGAATGGGAGATACTCTTATTTTACCGAGGCATTAGATAATACGGCCACGTGTAGTATAATGCCTCAATGCAGACATGGAATCGGCATTCCGGCATACTAATTTTACTTCTCTTCCTGCTGTTTTTCCCAGTCGCTGAGTAAACATCAACATACTATTGAAGGCCATGCTTTATCGTACACGCTTGAGCCCCGACCACAATGAGTGCGCCCTCTGGCGCGCAGACCGCAAGGCCGTCCAGCGAGTCCGAGTGCACGGCTCGGGTCGTACCTGCCACAACTCAGGTCGCCGCTTCATCTGGTTCCGTCACTAAAGGAGATCCTCCAAAGGAGCATATCCGAGGGGGTACGAAGGACTTTGGGTTTCTCCCGATTCCGAAGCAACTTCAGTATGATTCGGAGCGGGCTTTCGAATTTACGACTGTATTAAATATTACGTTTGGATTTGCGAGTACATTCAGTGAGTGATGCGCAATATCGGGCTGCTCGTATAAATTTACATAGCTGAATAATTGTCTTGACGTGATGCGCAGCGGTGGCGAATTTATATTACTGCCAGCCCCTTCTCCGTACGTGTTTCACTTTTGAGCAATTTCAGCGCGGCAACTGACTCTCTTGACGCTTTTTGTTAGTCCAGTTGGCCGCCTCGTTCAATGTGACTCATGACGAAATATCCAAGTTAGTTATTATTTATATTCATTATTTCTTGTTCTTCGAGCTCATGCGTCAATACCAGAGTTCCTACACTCGTACAGGCTGGGTAAGCCCAACTGCGATAATACAGATGTAGCCTTGCCGATATGACTTTTATCTCTTAGTTATGCCACTGGACTTCTGCTTCTATCACCTCTGGGTGACTTAGTCCGCCGACGACCCTTATTGTTGCTCCTTGTACTTGTATCCGGCACTCTTAGTATCGGGCTCGCGACGACGTCCTCCTTCCTCGTATTCGAGACCCTCTCATTCATCGTCGGCGCTTTCACGGTTACGCCGCAGGTTCTCATTCCCCTTGCTGCGGATCTTGCCCCAAAATCTCGGCGTGCTTCGGCAATCTCCATCGTTCTTTCTGGTTTACTCTTTGGAGTTCTACTTGCACGAGTGCTAGCAGGAGTCATTGCAGAGTTCGTAACATGGCGCGTAGTGTACTATATGGCAATCGGTGTGCAATTCATCGTACTCGCAGCACTGTATCTCCTTCTGCCTGACTGGCCTGCAAAGAATGCTGGATCGGGTGTGACTTATCCAGGCATCCTATATACTATGGGTAAATACGCAGTGACGGAACCTGTGCTTATCCAGGCGGGTATCATGCAGTTCTCTGCAAGCGCGTGCTTTACGAACTTCTGGGTTACTCTGACGTTCTTACTTGGTGGGCCGCCATACCATTATTCAACGTGCGTTATTACCCTTCCTCCCTGTCTTCGCACCTGATAAGTGAACTCCAGTCTTGACATTGGTCTGTTTGGTCTTGTTGGAATGCTCGGGGTGTGCACGGGACCCCTCGTCGGCAGACTAATCGACCGTCTCGTTCCTTGGTATGCAACGCTCGTAGGGACGTTTATCCAGATTACATTTCAGGCCGTGCAGACAGGTGCTGGTGGAGTCAACGTCGGAGCGGTCGTCATTGCGTGTTTTGGTCTCGATGTAGGGAGACAGATGCAACAGGTTTCGTTAACTACTGCTGTCTACAAGTGAGATCTTGCGTACATATTGCAATGATTTCAACTAATTATTTATGGACAGTATATCCGATTCAGCACGATCACGGATGAACGCAGTCCTCATCATCTGGGTAATTCTTACACATAAACATTTCTACTCGAAACAGCCATTAACGTTCCCTTAATTTTAGATCTTCCTAGGTCAAGTATCAGGCACAGCAGCTGGTGCTAAAATCTTTCTATCGTTTGGCTGGCGTGCAGCCGCTGCGTTCTCGCTTGGTCTTTTTGCTTTCCAGATTGGTATACTATTTCTTAGAGGACCACATTGCCAGCGATACACATGGTTCGGGTACGAAGGCGGGATTGAGTGGAGGAAAGATGTTGTCGAGAAGCGGAAGAGACAAGCAGTGGTAGAGAAAACCGAGAGTGATGAGGGAAAGGATATGACGAAGGAGAAGGATAAGGACGAAAAGAAGCCAGTGGAGGATTCTGAGTGCGAAAAGAAAGACGATGAGGTTATGACAAAAGAGAATGATGCAAGTCAAGCTGTCTAGACAACGTTACAATGTGTTCATGCATAGAATTTATTCTACTGAATAAAGGGTGAAATGAGCTGCTACACAATTATGTAATATAGATCGGTTATGGGTTGGAGGTTAATTTCATGAATTATTCCCATTCATGCAGTGTAAAGTCTTTATCTGTTCTGCATTGCTACAGCTTCATGTCCCACATAATACAGGCAGCACAAAAGGAACCAAATGTCAGGCACGGAATTATTCAGAGGCAATGCATCAATAATCTGTTTATGGGTGCCCGCAAATCACCGTTAGCATCCGGCCATCAACAATGTAGAAAAAGGCAGTGCAATGCGTCAACAATGCTCCTTCATGGCCTCCACCTCTACAGCTACCCACTTTTCTTTGACAGGTGTGTAATTTCACTGATCCTTACGTCTATGTCATGTTAACACTCTACAGTGGTTCGTGCCTCCGAACTCCAAGCAAAATGGAATTTGTCCTTGCGTAGACGAATGCCAAATCTTTACGTCCAAATCGAATTCAATAATGACAGAAGACAGACACAGGTTATTAAAAGTAATTTATCGCCCGAATGGAACGAGTGTTTTTCATTCGAGCTGTAAGTAAGACATATACTCTGACTACAAGAGCCAAACTGATTGTGTATACTTAGAGAATCTGCTGATCAAGGCAGAAACATTAACATTCAGCTCAAAGACAGCTCACGTTGGAAAGACAGATGCTTGGGCCAGATTGATATAGATGTTTCTGAACTTTTGAATAGTCTGAATGATGGTGAAGGTAAGGCTCTAGCCATTCCCTCTTGTTGTATAAGCTGATAGAAAATATTAGAAACACATCTTAGGCTTGTAGTGCCTCCAGAGCAAGCATCTCCAGAAGTGACTGCAATGCTACATTTTACATTGCAAAAAGTCAATAAACTGGAAGGTATTAGCAACAATATTGCATCCACAAACAAGATACTAGAGAAAAATGGGATGCTAACCTCAGGAAACAGCTTGGCTTCTAATACAGTAGCACCCCTGAGCTTCAGTAGTCTTGAGTCTAGGTACAACGAATTGTACTGCTCTGTTGGAAATCTTGTTTCAAAGTTAGACTTCTTTGTCAATCTAGTTGACAAGTTATCTCAAGTAAGTCTCAGTTATTTGTGCAGTCAGTACATGATTTAGTGAAAGTCCTAGGCCCATCCGTACATCAATTTTGCATGGCAAATAGTGTCAGCATTGTATAAGGTGCGCTCTGAGTGCTTCTAGATAAAGTTTCTGACTGTTCCCTTTAGAGCATCAGCCATCAATTCAAAGTCGACAAGAAAGTTGTTGAACTTGCGCATGTCATGGACGACGCTTTCAGTTTTGTGTATGATGCTGATCTTCTTAAGAATAAGACGCAATACCTCGAGACGATTGTGATTAGACTTTTAAAGCAAATCAACGAGTGCTGTCTTTTTATTCAGGGATACACACGCAAGGCATTTGCAGGTATGTCCAATGACAATATGTAAAATATAGGAATTTTATTCTGCTCCAGGACGAATGTTCAAGATGGATGCAGGTGAAAAAGTTGACGAGTTCATACAGTCTCTGCTTTTGCTCAAGCAATCGGTTGGTTCCGGAACTATCATTCGTACTGCCTTTATTTCGTCGCGGATCTCTTACAAAGTCGATAATCTAAGTATGTTATGACTGTTTACCAGCGCACCCTTAATAAATGATCTCTTCAGTTCTATTGGGTCGCTTGACCCCAGAGGAGACAAATGCGTTCGACCGGCCGCAATGCCTTCCTGGTACACGAACTGCCGCGCTTTCCGCAATCCTGGAATGGACATTATCGGATACAGACCAGAACACGTTCTGGCTATATGGTGTTGCAGGATCCGGGAAGAGCACGGTTAGCACGACTATTGCCGGACACTTCCGTGGTATTGCTCGCCTTGCCGCCTTTCTGTTTTTCCAGCGCGAAAGGAGTGATCCCGGTGCCGTTATTCGGACCCTTGCTTACAAGCTTGCCTCATTTGATGCCTCGTTGGCGAAATACATCATCGAAGCAATAGAAGAAGACAACGACATTGCTCTAGCTCCAGCAGAGATCCAATTCGAGAAACTTCTTCGTGATCCACTTATGGCTGCCAAAGATGATATGAAGGGGCTCATGGTTATTGTACTCGATGCATTGGATGAATGCGGTACAGAGAAAACACGACGGACCCTAGTGGAGACCTTTCGGAAAGGACTTCCGGAGCTTCCAAAGAATTTTAGGTTCCTCATCACAAGCAGGAAAGAACCGGACATCGACCAAGCCTTCTCTTTGCGACCCGATCGCGTTTGTGCTTTTGAACTGGAATACGATTCGGAAAGCTGTAGGAATGATGTGCTTTGCTATCTCGATCATGCGTTGCGTAAGGTGTTTACGATTAGGACGTTGCCAATTCCAGATGACTGGCAACTAAAGATGAGCCGTCTTGCTACAGCGGCAGCGGGACTTTTCATCTGGGCATCAACAGCAGTGAAGTTGGTGGATTGCGACAATCCAGCCCCCAAACTAACAAATTTGGTATATCAATCGCAGCGTCTCTCTGGCCTCGGAAAACTTTACAACTCAATTCTTATAAGCTCAGGCGTTTCCTTCGAGGATGAATCATCTAAGGTTCGCTTCGCACAAGTCTTCGGCCTCATCCTTCTCAGTAGGATCCCGCTCTCCGATAATACGATCGACGAGCTTCTGGGATTTTCGAGTGACGAACCGTCGAGGCTGATCCTATCGCGTTTACAATCTGTACTTGTATTTACTCGAGGAGCACCCGTCCGCTTCTGCCATGCATCATTCCGCGATTATTTATTATCACCAGAGCGCAAGAGCGATCCGTGGCTGATAGATTTCGAGTCTCAAAAGATGTTCATCGCCTCCCGATGCTTCGAAGTTTTGAGGGGCGGGCTCCGCTTCAACATATGTGGCTTACAGTCATCATATATTCCTAACGATCAGATTCCGGGTCTTCCGGATCGTATCACGGCGAATATTCCTCCGCACTTGGAGTACGCTTGCCTCTTCTGGACTGAACACCTACGCGACGCTGCATTTTCACCTGAGTTACTGAACGAGCTGAAGGGTTTCCTCTATAATCGTTTGCTTTATTGGCTTGAGGTGATGTGCTTCCAGAGAAAAGCTAGTCCAACACTTACTCATGCTATGACCTGGCTCTCGGTACGTAGGTGAATATCCACGTGAAGCTTGAAGCTTACTTGTATTGCATTTAGTCACACGATGCTGATACCCTGGTGTTCCTAAAGGATGCACGCAGAATAATTACACAATATTTATCGCTCATTTCGGAATTTACAACACATATCTATGTTTCTATTCTCCCGCTAGAATCAAAAGATTCACGAGTCATGTCTCACTACTGGAAGCAGACTTTTCCTCTTGTGCAAGTAGATCGAAGAGGCATCAAACAACACTCGCCACTTTTAAAAAAGCTCACGGGACATGTAAGAGATGTCAAATCCGTTGCATTCTCTTCTGATGGCACCCGCGTTGCCTCCGGCTCCGACGATTACACAATCCGAGTTTGGGATGCCGAAAGTGGGCGGGTCAGCTCTGAACCTCTTGAAGGACACACAGATCGGGTCCTGTCTGTTGCCTTCTCGTCTGATTGTGCACGAATCGTCTCTGGATCTGCTGACAAGACTGTCAGAATCTGGGATGTCAAGAGCGGACAGATCGTATCTGGGCCTTTACAGGGGCATTTAGGCTGGGTCTGGTCCGTTGCATTCTCGCCGGATGGGGCACACGTTGTCTCCGGCTCTAGAGACAATACTATCAGGATCTGGGACGTTGAAAGCGGCAGAGACGTACACGAGCCCCTTAAAGGGCACACGGATACAGTCCGATCCGTCACGTTCTCGCCGGACGGCAAACATATCGCTTCTGGCTCTGATGACTACACAATCATAGTCTGGGACATTAAGACTCGACGAGCCATCTCGCAGCCCTTTGAAGGGCACAAGGGTGGCGTCAATTCAGTTAGCTTCTCGCCTTGCGGGAAATGCATTGCATCTGGCTCTGATGATGAAACCATTGTGATATGGAGTATTGACAGTGGAAAACCTACTCTTGAGCCGTTTCGAGGGCATTCACAGAGGGTATGGTCTGTTGTTTTCTCTTCAGATGGAACACGTATTGTCTCTGGTTCTAATGACAGAACAATTCGAATTTGGGATGCCGAAACTGGATGTGTCGTATCCGAGATCCTTGAAATGCACACACCGATTATACGATCTGTTGCATTTTCTCCTGACGGAACCCGCGTTGTCTCAGGCTCTGATGACGACATGGTCCGAATTTGGGACTCTGAAAGTGAACAGGCTGTTTCTGGACAGTTCGAGGGACATACAGATGATGTGAACTCCGTCACCTTCTCACCCGATGGGAGGTGCATCGCATCCGGCTCTAGCGATAACACGATCCGAATTTGGGACGCTGTAAACGGACGTCCTGTTTCTGGACCTTTCGAAGGGCACTCGTCGAGAGTTTGGTCTGTTGTCTTTTCGCCGGACGGAAGGCGTATCGCGTCTTGCTCTAGTGATCGTACGATACGAATATGGGACACTGAAAGTGGGCAAGCCATCAGTGCACCTTTTGAAGGGCATGAAGATACAGTCTGGTCCGTCTCCTTCTCTCCGGACGGGGAAAGCGTTGTATCCGGCTCTGACGATAAAACACTTCGTATCTGGGATATTGAGAGCGGTCGGACTGTCTCTGGCCCATTTAAGGAACATACCCAGAGTGTCAACTCCGTCGCTTTCTCACCTGACGGGAGGTGCGTTGCCTCAGGCTCGTACGACAGAACAATTATACTTTGGGACGTCGGGAGTGGGGGGATCATTTCTGGGCCGTTAGAGAAGCACACGGGCTGGGTTTGTTCAGTTGCTTTCTCGCCCGATGGGGCACGCATTGCATCCGGTTCTGGTGATAAAACAATCATAATCTGGGATGTCAAGACTGGGCAGCCCATAGCTGGGCCTTTCGAAGGACATACTAATCTCGTCAGGTCAGTTGCTTTCAGCCCTGATGGTGCTCTTGTTGTCTCCGGCTCCGAGGATAGTACGTTACTAGTCTGGGACGTTGAGAGCGGACGTGCGATTTTTGCGCCTTTTGGCAATCATATGGACTTGGTCCGCTCTGTCGCTGTTTCACCTGACGGATGTCGTGTTGTCTCTGGCTCTAGAGATCGTACAATCAAAGTGTGGAATATAGAGAGTGAGAAAATATCTTCAATATAATTTTATTAAACAAAATTTTGACACCTTTTCTTCCGCTTTGGCATAGATCTTGATTTCAATTGGACATTGGCTGATGATGGATGGGTACGCGGACACAGAGGAGAGTTTATCCTCTGGATCCCTCCCGACATTTATCCAACACTTTGGCGACCAAGAAATACTGCAGTTTTCAGTTGGCCATTTTCGACTAGACTAGACTTTACGAATGCTGCCTTTGGGGAACGATGGCAGGAATGCTTCGTGCCTCCTCAGTAATAACATAGTCCTGCCCTCGATTTGATTATAACCCGAAACAAAAACGTTCATCCCAATTGGGTGAAAGGCTGCTCTTCACGGTTCCCGTTCGTCTGCACCTGTCGTTGAGCTCGACCTCAACATAAAGATTCGGGAGCTTGTTACGGAAAGTTGGACACCATTTAACTTCGGAGGCACGAATAACTATCGTGGGTATCAGCGTTGCATATCCAGGATGGAATCGTGTAGAATGCTGACCTGTCAAGGAAAGGCGGGTATCTGAAGAAGTAGAAGTCATGGAAGAGCTCATCAAAGTGCACAACGGCTGTATTCAGATTACTGAAGTACAAGTTCTCCTGATGCTTGACATTATGGTCTCTTTGTGTCAATTCACTGAAGTGAACGTTGATTGATGGCGGCTTGCCAGAGTAAAACGCCGGAGTGGGTGAAGGAGACAATAAGCGTAGGGAGCATATTAGGAAGTTGCAAAGGCAGGATACTAGGGAACAAAGGCACATCGTATGCAAGGAAAGTAATGGAACTGATGTTTACGTTACAAAGCAGTAACAAAGAGGTTCAAATCGTGAGTCCAAATTGCACATCGGGCATTTCACAATTTCTTGCCTTAAAAAATAACTTACATAATGTTAAACATTATTTGTAATTTAATTTACCATTTCAGTTTAGTAGAAATTCAAAATAATATTTTAAGTTTTTTCTGTATTTGTATTGATTATGGAAGAAACTTGAAATTTTGTTCATGATTTCTATCAATCAAAAATGGTAAATTTAATTACAAATAATGTTTAACATTATGTAAGTTATTTTTCACAGCAAGAAATTGTGAAATGCCCGATGTGTTGTGCAGTCCAACTAGCAATCACGTGATGATCTTGGGTGATCAACATGATTATGTCTTTTAATTTGTTTGAATTGTAAAGGACACGTCTTTCGGTAATATACCATACTATAACATGCCATACTATAGTCTTGTCGAGGATAAAAATGAGCTACTATACAGTTATGTAACATTAAAAAACCAACAGCCAAGTAGAGACAGTAGGACTATATCATGGTCAGGAAATAAATAATAAAAAGTACATTTTTTAATTCTGTCGACATAAACATACACCAAAGCAGCATGGAGAATACATATGTTACTATACAACTATTACAGGGGCCGCTGATTGTCATGGATCGTCGTTTGGGTCCCAAATCTAAGCCCCACTTTCCTCCACACACTTATATGATACTACCTCATGCATGTCGTCATAGAACACGTATTGCCACCCTATTAACACAGCCAGGGAGGAAAGAGCTTTGTGCCTTGTACTTAGAAGAAGCAGGGGAAGAAGGCTGCTGCTACCGTTTCTACAAACAGGGATTAGGGATTAATCCAGGCAATTTTGCAGCCTTCAAACATAAACTCACCATCAACAGCACGGCTTGCTGTACCCTTCCTGTTGTTCATGGCCGGACGCTTCTCGACTGGCTGCTTTGTTTCCAGCCCATGTCCTCTCGTTTCTGGCACTCGATTCGTTCGTGGCAAGTTTACCGCCTTTTCGTTGCGAATAGTTTCTTTGACCATGATGAAGACAGTCGGACGGAGAGTAAAGAGCAACGGTTAAACACAAGAGCAGGTGACGTGGCTGTTGGTGGTCAAGACGAGAGACAAGCAAACCGATCAAGACAAGTGGGGTAATTATACTCCTGATCACTGAAGCTTCGCCAACTCATCACATGGATTGATCCCGACTGATATAGGTCTCTTTGAAACATGGAAGTAGTGCCACGAGGTCTACATCTTCACCCCAGGGACCAGGCACATAAGACACATAGGGGGCGGAAGGCATAGCCTAGAGAGTTCAAGAATCGAGATGTTGTTCAAGCCAGCACTCCGAGACACGATCATCGGAGATGATGCAAAGCTCGCACGTGATACAGACACGCTTTGAAGTGTTGTAATTGAATCTCCGACAAGTGTCGTTAAGTCAGGATGCCTCTAAGCATAAAAACATAATAAATTCGTTTCAATATAATTTATACTCGCAGCTTGTCCTTTGTTTCAAAATGGCTCAGTTTTCCAATCCATGATTGCATATACTTCATAATTGGCTTGGGTAATGATTGGTTTGCTTGTATATCTTTCCATGAATCAAAGTCTCGCTTCGTGCTTGGCTCCATCAATATGACTATGCTTTAATTACTTCACAAATATTATTCCCTACAACAACGCTATACACATTTCTCTTATTTCGCTTTACTGCGCCATTACAGACGATCCATCCTTAATTGCAATATGCATATTACGTAAGATAAGATTACGTATTTTATCTCACGGTCAAATCCGTGTCATCGCCGCTGAACAACTTGCAAGTCCATCTCGTCAACCTCCACTCGCCGTCGCCGTCGACAATGCACGCCTCTCTCGTGCGCCGCCAGCTCGGCTCACTTATCCCTCCGAAAATCGCAACCCCAAAGCTCCTCGTATGTTCATTTATCTTCGCATTGGGTGGTTGGAAGTAATTTACTGATGGCTTCTTGTATGGCCGTCATTCCACATTGTTTTTCGTGCTGGCAAACGAACACACATATGTCCGTTCTTTGGCGTATATCGACGATCTCAAAATTTTGTGAACGTTTTACTGCTGCCGTTGGATGGATCATATCATGTAGACGGGCCGCCCTGGTTCTGGCGGAGGAGGCCTCGCACCACTCGTTGAATTCTACTCGAAACTGCCAAAAGGTCCTGCCTCTTCAGCATCCTCAGGTATCCGGGGGCGTTACTATGAAGGAGCCAATGCATCCGGAAAGCCACTAGTTTTTACCATCCTCGCTATCTTTGGGCTCGGGTACACAATAGACTACAACAGTGCGTCCTACAGTTTGATTACCTTGCCTTCGTGAACATTTTATTGACCAATGATCATACGTTACATCTTTGTTCTTGCGTCCCGCTCCGTAGTGCACCTGAGTACGTTGATTCTCCCTGCCGTTCTAGCGCTGGTTTATGATTAATGTATTGCATCTATTTAGAGCACCACAAGAACCACGCGCATTAAACGATGTTGCTTGGACTTCAACCAGACTTCGGTGGCGCCTTTCTATGCCGGTATCGACATAGACTACGAGAGAGAGAGGCGCACTGTTGTAAAGCTTAAATACCGCAAATGCAACCTATTTCATCTTATTTGCCCTTCTGACGAAGGCGGCCAAGGCAGTGAATGGGTATGAAAATCCGACTGCAGGCCAATTCAGTCATTCCGAAACGGGTTGCCAGCTAGTCGAAAGCGTTGCTTTCGTGATACGTGCCGTAAATTCATCACTGCCAGGGACAATGTAACTCAAAGCATGGGAAGGCCTGCATTTGAAAACGCGTATATAGCAGCAGGCGCGCCTTTATCCTTGATTGTTAGCTGCAAAGGCGCCTTGCCAATTGCAACTGCCAATGCGTGCGTGAGATATTCACCCAGGTCAAGGGCGCTAAGCTTGCCTTGACCGGTGATTAACAGCTTTTAGCCCACGGTCTCGTCAACGACTTCATCGGTAGCACGTAGTTTACCGACGTAGCTTTCGCCTTCAGGCAGTTATCCAGCGTCTATTACTTTTGTCTCATCTATATATGCGACCATCTCGTATTCTAGTCCTGATGCGCTCGGGTCAATGCTGTTGTAAGAGCAACGAAAATTTGGAAGAGAAGATCGGACGAGCGCTTATCAGCTCGAAGCTCAGGCTAGATGATGTAAAACGTGGAAACGTGTTGATCGTTGAATGATCCCTTGTCTATCAAGGGCTACCTCGACCATGGGCGGAGCGCTCGACTCGACAACTTACCAGCTCTTCCGAAGCGAACTTACATCACCAGGGGCCCATAACGGTATATAAGACTTTAGTAGGGTTCAGTGAAGTCGAAGAAACCCGCTTCAACCCGACTATCACTAGCTTCTGCAGTTCAGTATGAGTAGCGTACTGCAGACCATCACGTCAAAGTTCATGCACCGTCCTACGGCCCAGGATGAGGCCCATCGACGACCTCCAGCGAGACAGCAATCCGTCTTTGCGCAGCAAGAACATCGTTCTGGTCTTTTCGTCACAGAGGAACTCGAGAAAGCAACAGAACGATGTAGAACTAAGGTGCTCAAGATCGCGCAAGATTGCAAACGGAGGAACCGGAGATTTCGGTGTGTCATATTCTCGCACATACATCACGTTTAGGGAACGATGAAATCTGATCTGGTTTTAGGGATATTGAATTTAATTTGGCAGACAACAAGTGGGATTGCTTGCACAGTCCGGATGTGTAGGGTTCTATCATTCGTTTCTCGCTCTTTTGTAATTGACGGTACTATGTGATATAGGAGTTTTGAAGACCAGTCGAGGCCGGCGGATATACTTCGAGTGACGGAAATCTTCGAGAATCCTGAATTTTTCGTTGATGGTAAGCTGCTTAAGCATAATACTGCCCTTCATTATACTTAATAGGTTTACATCAGAGCCGAGTGCCTCTGATATAGTTCAGGGTATGCTTAATTAGACTGTCTGTTGGGTGTATAACTCAAGGCTCTCAATCATTACCTGGTATCAGGTGCATTGGGCGACTGTTGGTACCTAAGTGCGATCGCTGCTGTTGCGACTAAACCGGAGTTGGTCAAGAAGCTCTGCGTCGAAGTATGGCCCGTATTTAACACATACTTCGTAACTCGTCTCATCTGATGGCAAATATAGCATGATAAAACGGTCGGCGTGTACGGGTTCATTTTCTGTCGTGATGGAGAATGGGTGGACGTGATCATCGACGAGTACGATTTCTTTTCCTCTCGTGCTTCTCTCTTCTTGCCTGGATCTGATAAGACACTCGCAGCCAATTATTCACGAAAGTACCGAGGTGGGAATGCGTGACGAATGAGGTATAAATCCCGACCATGCGATTTCTGCATAATTGAATATTTTATCTTTCCCTCAGACGAAGGCATCGTACCATTACGACAATGATATGTATGACCGTGTTGCCCGAAAAGGCGGGAAGACACTTTACTTTGCTCGGTCGTCGCAGGAGAATGAGACTTGGGTGTAAGGCTATTTACCTAGCTATCGGAGTGAAGTAGAATATTAAATCGTTATTGCTAATTATAGACCTCTTATTGAGAAGGCATTCGCTAAATTGCACGGTGACTTCAATGCCCTCGACGGTGGTTATACAAACGAAGGCATTGAGGATCTGACTGGGTTAGTCGCCCTGCACCTCATCATCCCACGTCTTGTTTCTCCTGACGTTCAGATTTCTTTCTCAGCGGCGTTTCCGAGTCCATCTACATGAATGTTCGCGATTTTATTCTCTATTGCACCCCGCGTACTTGTCCTTGACCATATTCTGTAGGATATTATGGACCCAGACAACTTTTGGGGAAATGATCTACTGCGGGCCAATAATGATCTTTTATTTAGTTGTTTCATCGATGCGCCGGATGGGATGCTTGACGGGAAAGTTAAAGGTTTGTTTAGAGCTTCATAGTACAGAGGAATCTTCATCTGACTCTAGCATATAGGCATCTTGCCTGGTACGTCTCCTAACATGTTTATGTGCAGGATTAGCCCATAATCTACATCTGCTTGTATTGTAGGTCACGCATATACGATTATCAAAGCCGTCGAATTCCGCGGGAAGAAGTTCCTCAAGATTCGAAACCCATGGGGCTCATCAGAGTGGACAGGACGCTGGTCAGACGGGTCCAAAGAGTGGACACAAGAATGGCTTAGTGCACTTGCTCCTCTCGAACATCAATTCGGTGACGATGGGGTATTTGTGATGGAATACTGTGATTTCTTGAAAGTCTGGACTGGAGTAGAACGGACCCTGTTGTTTGATCCATCGTGGGTCCAGAGCAGCCACTGGATGACAGTGGAGAGTCGTCCAATGCCTTCCGCTTGGCAATTTGGCGATGTATCCTGTAAGTTTCCTCTCACTTGCTATCTTTCAATAGACGTTAAATCTAAAGTGTGTTATCATTAGTCACGTTCTCGTTGCCAAAAGCCTCCGCGACGATCATCGTCCTCTCACAATCAGACGATCGCTTCTACAAAGCCCTCGCAAGCTCGTCTTCATGGAACTTTGATTTCATACTTTTCAAGCGAGGCGTTAACGAACCCATCGCCAGCTCGGAGCTCTCTTACGTGTTGAGAAGGAGTTGTAAGCTCCGCATCGATCTTGACGCAGGAGACTACGTGGTGCATGTTCGTCTCAATAGATCGATAAATACTAGTAGAGTAAGTACCGTCCTCAAGCACAGCAAAATATCTCACTTATATCCGTGATGCAGAACGTGGAAGCGAACATGATATCCTGGAGCGTACAGAAAACATCTAAGATCTTGTCGGAACTTGCTCGCAGCAGGTCCATTGCAGCGAACTTTGACGAAAAGTTAGTCCGCTTACTCCCAGTTCACCAGATGCTGACTGTGCTTCTTTGTTCAGAAAATGGGAGAACCATCTCGTTCTGCCTCTAGAGGATCTGGGTCCTCGCGATCTTCACGAGATCCAATCCGAGGAGCTTCAAAAACAAGCAGTACGAAGGAAGACACTGCAAGCTAGATTTAACTCGATGTCTGATGTAATACACGACGACTCCTCCAGTGGTAGTAGCACAACATCTTCGTCGTCTTCGTCAAGCGAGACTGGTGAAGTTGCGTCTCCGGGTAGCACCGTCGTAGTCTCCGCGGGAATGGCATCGCTCAATATTGAACCATCCGATCACGCTCCGGAAGAAGAAAAGGGAGCTGGTACGTCCTTGTCAGATAGCGGATGTTGGTGGAACTATACTGATTCGAGTTTTGTTCACAGAAAACCCGGAGTCGAGAGTCGAGACTGCGTCACCTGCGAATATTGATCAAGACTCGGTATCCGAAGATGGCAAGGGTTCACACCCGCTTCCCCTACCTGTACCTGCTGCAGTGCATGTAGGAGTTACATGCGACGGCTGCAAGGTAAATATGCGAGTAAATACACGCGATTCCGCATGTCTTAGTGAATTATACTGTAGACTGCCGATATCGTCGGAATACGCTGGAAGTGCCGCACTTGCGCCGATTACGACCTTTGCGACAAATGTCATAGTGCGCCAGACGCGCACGAACACGACATGATGAAGATCGAGCATCCTGATGACTACAAGGGCTCCATTGAACCAGGTGTAAGTCTTTATCTTACCTTTAAATATATTTTCATAATTATTAATTGAATCATTATTCGTCGTTCTTAGTTTTTCACGGACGATATCGACAATGTTCTCTTAGGACTTCGAATTTACACGAAGAAGGACGTGAAAGTCAACATCGCAGGTCAACTTCGTCATGGTCAGCTTAAACGTTGGCAGAAAAATCGCGATTAGGTCACAAGTTCATAACAGCAACACCACTCATGCTTGTTGGATATGTATTTTAATCTGTCTCGCAGAATCTGCTGATATATCTTATGTGTTCCAAACTACTCCTCCGAACAAGCTGACTCTTTAGCCTCGGTGTTTGAAACCCCGAGTGTCGCGAAATCCTACCGCAAAGTTGAGAATATATTTTCATCACGCACTAGTCTCTCGCGCAAAGCAAGCGTTTTCACTTCATGCAACTACAAAACGCAATGTACACCCGTTCAATCATCTCCAATTTACCTCCAAGTCGTCACCTCAGATACATCCCGACTGCGTCTCCTGAGTGGACGTGATGACAGACGTGTATCGCTTACCTCCGGAACTCTGGAGACTAATCATCCGCTACGCCACACTTACTGAGAAGCCTGTTTCCGCAGTTAGGGAATTATCCCTCCGCGATGCAGACTCAACAGAAGACCTTCCCTGCACGAAGAATGACCCTCCGCTCACACCCATTATCTATCACCGCAAATCTGCCCCATTGCAATCTGCTATGGAGGCGTTCACTCAGTCAGGCATGAAACGCTCGCTTGCATTGGTCTGCCGAATGTTCAACCAACTCGTTGGCGAGTTCCTCTTTGAAAAGCTTTACATCTCCGACCCCAGACTGGCGTATTGCCTCGCCTCAACTCTCGAGAACTCTGCCTCCTACGCCAACCCCGGAAAATGGGCGCGCCACGTAACGATCGTCGGTGTGTTTTTCACGTGGCCTGCCTCTAGTGAGGAACTGGCGAATGCGGCGTTACGCATTTTGAAGCAGACGCCACATCTGCGGTCATTCCATCTCTCATGGAACTCTACCTCAAGAGAGTTCAGGGAGAGGGAACATCAGATTATCGCTTCCGTTCCAACCGGTTCTTTGAGACACTTTGAGTGGGAATGTACCGGAGGTGGGTTTGAGAGACAGAACGACCATCCGTTTTTCAGGTTGTTGAAAGACGCAAGTCCGACTTTGCGGGTTTTGAAGCTAAGTGGGTACCTCCCTCTAGCTGAGTTACCAGTCCCAACTCCACCTCAATTCGGGACGCGATCACAAGGACAATCTGAACTTCAACCTCAAGGACAATTACAAACTAACAACAACGACAACAACAATACTACTAATAACAACACAACATCCACAACAACACAAGCACTCACCCCGCTCCCCAAACTTACACACCTCAAAGTCCGTCGCGCATTCCGCGACGACCTCCTCTTCATCTCCCAATGGTCCATCTCCACACACCTAACCTGTCTCTCCCTCGGCTCAATCTGGGCCTACTTCGATCACCGCGAACTTGCCTTCGCTTTCTGGGACACACCCAAACCCGCACTCCGATGCCTCCACCTCGGCGAAGGCTCTAACGTCTCTCCCTCACTTGCGCGTAAAATCCTTAATAGCGCGCATAATTTGAAGGTACTGGAGTATTTCTTTTTGGGTGATTGGGATGCGAGTACTTGGTATGGTGTACGGCATAGGAGTTTGGAAGTTGTGAAAGTACATGTGTCGCATCCTGTTATCGCCCTCCGGTCTTTGTTTAATTCGCAGAGGTATTCGAGGGACCAACAGTGGGATAAGATTTTGAGACACGTTTCGCCGTTCCTTGGGTGTATGGAGGAGTACAACACAGACTCGGACTCTAATCCTAATTCTAATCCGGCAAATTCAAATTCAAATTCGAATTCTGGAACTGCTACTCAACCTATGAGCACAAACTACTCAGCAATGAAGAAACTCATCTTCCTAGAATACACACGCAAGTTCGAAGATCTCCAATACGAACCTGCCGAATTGGCTGACTGGCTAAAGACGACGATAGAAGAAGCGGATATCAAAACAGACGTGCAGATGTCTGTTGAAGTTGAAGATTATATTCGGTAAGCAAGAGAAGCGGGGCTACAACCTTATTCCTTTTTTCTAGAGTTTATTCGTTCTGTACCGGATCCATCCATCTATGGAGATGACGACGCCGCACATCTATATTGCAGTATTTACGATACTACACTTTGTAAATTAGTCTGACCCAAAAACATTGTAGACTCTCGTTCACATATTCACATGATTGATGGATCCCGCCCAGGAGTATCCATACGAAATGATCCCAAGAAAAAAGGATTTTCCTTACTTCTTTACTTATTATACTGTACACAGCACCTTTCACATTTACTACCACTATCGTACTCTCAACACCAAGAAAGCTTCTCCACACTCCAACCAGCACAGAGAGGAATCATCTACCTCCCTCTATTCCACCCTACAAATTCGCCAAATTCTCGCGCATATACTCCTCAAACATCGGCTTATACTGCGGGTGCCACCTACTCAACGCAGGCCGTCCCTCCACAACGTCGCCCGCACTCCAAAGCACCCTCAACGAATCCACCGCAGGCCTCGTCTCGTTATCCGGACAAATGATATAAAACTCCCCAGCCCGCACTTTATCCAACATATACAACACCGTCTCTTGTGCAGTCCACGCACCACTAGGCTTCTCCTTTGTTCCTCCGGAAGTCATACCCGTGAACGTCCACCCGGGTACGAACAAATGCGCAGTGAGTTTAACGTCTGCTGTCTCGCGGAGCTCGTACGCGAGTTGCTCAGTCAAAGCTTTGACTGCAGCTTTCGATGCGTTGTACGCTGAGTTACCCGGAGGGTTCGTTATACCCTGCTTCGACCCCGTGTTGACGATAACCGCGCTATGTAATTAAAGCAACCGTGAGTCCTTCCTCCGTGTTTTCCGATGCTTCTAATAATAGAAAAAGCGCACGGATTTTCCTGATGCATCATCACCTATAAATGAATATATGCATATGATTAATAATTAATTAATTGAGTGTCCTTGACGTTTAGGGTACTCACCGGCACAAACACCTGCTGCACGTTCACAATCCTATCAGGAAAAGAATTATACATATTAACATCATTCCATAAAAAACCTCGTTTATGATGAAGAGGAAAAGGAATTCACACTTACCCAAAGAGATTGACGTCGAAGATCTTCTTCCAATTATCAAGTCCGCTCCAGGACGTACCTCGGGGCCCAATGCCAGCATTGTTCAGCAGCACAGCAACCTAGACCCACAAGAGTTTTTGTGTGTCAGACTCGATACGCTCGTTCACTCACATCCGTCCCTCCCCCAAAACCAAAAAGAAAAAGAAAGGGAGAGAGACGGATAGCGAGCGAACTACTCTTTTCTCTTGTCTGTTGTCTAAGTAGGCAGGGCCAACGGAAGGCCCGTGCTCACCTCTCCCCAAGCATCGAGGACTTTGTCCTTCAACCGGACAACTTCCTCGTATCGGGATACATCGGTCGGCACGACGAGTACGTGGTTCGATTCGCCTGCGACTTTAGCTACCTCCTCACCAACTTCTTTGAGCTGTGCTTCGTTCACATCTGCAAGTGCGACGCGTAGACCTTGCCTATATGCGATCAAACGCGCAGAGATAGATTACAAAATATACATAAAGTTATTTGAAAATAAAGAGAAAGTAAATAAATAAATAATCAATACCCAAATCCAAACACGCACAACACGACTCAAAAACACTCACTTAGCAAGCTCAACAGCAGCAGCCCTTCCAATCCCACTCGCAGCACCCGTAATCACCGCAACCCTCCCCGCATGAAAAACAGGATGCAACTCCTTATCAATCGGACTCAACGCTTCTTGCTTATAAGGCGTCACAGGTGCGCGTAAAGGCGAGGGTCCACGACCGTCCATAAAAACCATTGTCGAGTTGATGATAAAGATACAAGTGGGGGGAAAGAGAAGAGAGAAGTGATGGTAGATGGGGATCAAGATGGATGGCTTGCTGGCTGGCTGGTAATAGGTATCTGCGGTTACGACGTGTTGCTGACATGACGTACTTCTCTCATTGCACGTGGCATCATACAGGGAAAAACATACCATAACCATCATCAAAATTACAGCGGCTTCGGCTTTAACGGTCATTGCATTGCAGATTGGAGAGAGAGATAATATTGAGGTATCATCAGATGTATGTACACTCGGCAATGCCCTACACATATAACAAGCCAAAACGGCCTGCTTCGTAGATAGATATTGGGGAAGGGAGAACATATGGTGGTCGTCCGTCACAGAAGTGGAGAGCAGCAATAAGAACAAAAAGAAAAGGATAAAAGAAATAGTAAAAGGGAAATATTAATAGAGATTCAGCCAGGAGCTTTCCTTTCGTATAACTCCAGTCCCAACAGTATACTTCGCCGGTTCCACCCTGTGATCACCTTGTTGTTGAAAATCAAAACATCCAATATTTTTTCACATAAATCCCAGGCGCTCCTTCATCCAGAAGATTACGCAGCATCAACCGTGCCTGCACCTTCGTTCAAATTACCATCTTTATTCCCCTCCATATTCTCGCCCGAGCCAGACTCACCCGGCATCTTAATCCCCATCTTGCTGCGTACAGTCTCGAACGTTTTCAACATCTTACGCCTCGCCCCAAGTGCAGCGACACCCTTCGCCTCGAGATCCGCTTCGTTCATCACAACCATATCACGCCAGACCATACCCTCAAAGTTCGGCGTGTACTTGTGTAAACGCAAGCTTCTCAACCACGCTGGCACGTCATTCAGAAGGCTAGGATCAAAGTCGTCCTCCTTGTCCTTGTTTCCATCTCCGCGACCGTTGTTGCTACGGTTGCCGCTGCCAGTACTCGCCATGCGCGACGAACCGCGAGAGCTGTTCCCGCGATTGTTCATATTATTGAGCAACGCGGCTTGGGCTCCGAATCCGCCAAATCCGGGCTGCATAAGACCACCGGCCATTTGCGCTTGAAGGAGTGCCTGCATCTGAACATCCGGCATACCCATGTTCATGCCCATCATATTCATGTTCAGCTGCTGCATCTGAAGCGGACTAAGCTGCCCCATTTGTGCCGCAGCCATCAGTTGTTGCATAGTAGCCATGTTACCGAGTCCACCCATATTTTGAAGACTTGGTGAAGGCATGCCAATACCGAAGGCGTTCATGCCCACCGCACCAAAACCACCATCATCACTTCCACCAAAGCGACCAGATGAAACGTTTGAGAGTGCAGGGCTGCGTAGTTGCGAGTTACCCGGATAGCCCGACTTGTTGAGGCCCGACTGGGAACGACTGTTACGTTGAGATCCCGAACTGATGACATTCCCGTCATCACCATAGACAACATTGTTCGGATTGTTCCCCGTTGGGCCGTTCGACATAGCGTTCGCGCCATTTTCGTTAGTGGTGCTTTTCGAGGTGCGGCGGAACTTCTTCGCATCATCGAGACTGAAACGCCCCCCAGAGTTGCCAACTTGCCAAGAAGCCAGTTTAGCTGCCGCAGCGTCAAGATTTTGATTACCGCCCTGGTTCTGAACGTCAAACATTAGATCGCGAGGAGTGTTAACCATGCTAGCCCAGTTTCCGCCGACCATAGGGCTCAATTGGGCCTCGAGACCTTCGTTCTCATTCGCGACGTTGTTTAGACGAGGTGAACGCAAGAGGCCGCTAAAGTCGGTGCTCTTCGGACGCGCACTGCCTGGTGCACCAGATGGGGCAGGGATAGTAATCTCCTGAGCACCATCACTGTCTGCAATGCGTTCAGCAACTTGACCAAGAGAGCTTGCACCAGAACCACCCCAAACATTGCTTCCGCCAGCACCGGCCAGAGCAGGGGCGGAGATACGATGTGCGGCATTAGCCTTAAGTTTCGCACGCTGCTGAGCTAAAGTTGCAGCCGCATCGTTGTTACCACCGGTATTCGCAGCAGAGTCGGGAGAAAGGAAGGAATTCGAGCTAGGCTCAACCGCAAGTGACTGACGGTTACCCGTTAAATTACCGCTAAAATTACGCGCGGACGGGGAAGAGGGCATGTTAGATTTAAGCCCAGGAGATTTTAGGCCCATTTGTGCGAGCTTGGCTTCCATCTGGCTTTGCATCGAACCACCCGCATTAGGACTGAGAAGTGCAGTCATCGGATCTGCTCTAGCCATCTGCTGCAGGACTGTGATGAAGAAACGAATCTGCACTTGAGTCGAATGCTGCAGAAGACTATACAAAGCAGCTGTGCGCTCGGCCTCCGAGAGAACGCGGAACCCTATTCCAAGATATAAATAACCATTATTCTCAGAACATGAAGGCACACTTACATTGCTCGATCGCACTCAGTTCCTCTTTGAAATTGACATCCAGAGATGCAGCAGCCATTTCCTCCTATGAAACGATTGCACCGTGAGAGCCGAGCCCGATCAAAAAATAGCAACGCAACTTACCAACGTCGCTTCATAATTTTGCAAATTTTCAAACCATTGGTCGATAGCCTCAGCTATACAACAGAAATTCAGTAAGAAATCGTCACTCAGGATCGATAAGAAATGAGAACAGCTACTAACCTTCCGGAGTCTGGAACATGCCTTGATTACCAAGAAGCTCGCTGGTTGGACGACCTGACCCAGGGCGAGGCGACGCAGGCGGGTTCACAAGGTTGATGGGCGCCGGACGATTAGAAGACGGACCCATAGACGCACGCGCATTTGCCTTTGCGTTTCCATTAGGCGCGGGCGAAGGGCTTGGACTGGTAGATGGAGGTCGTAGAGACATTATTCGTTACTCAGGTGACGACGGATAAAAAGATGCAAGTGAAAGTAGTAGGGTTCAAAGGGGGGAGAAAGAAAGGCAGGGAGCGATCTGGCGCGGCGAAGAAATGACTAGGGTGTGTATGTGTTCACCGGCGTCGAGTCGGCGTGGCTAGAAGGATATGAGTGGCCTGCCGATGTGGACGACACGCTGGGCGTCTTGTTAAGGCTACCTAGACAAGACCAGCGGGCCTGCCGGTCTAGCAAGAGAGGAAGCGAATGTGCTGGCTGGCGAACAGCTGCAGTGCCGACGAAGCTCGACGCAGAGGAAAGACCGCAACGACGAGGAGAGAGGACGAGGGTCGAAGGAAAGGCGGACACGGCCAGCTGAGCTGGTGGCAGCCTCATTTCGGCACAGGCCTGACCTGACTGCCTATTCGGGCGTCCACACCGCCAGCTTTGATGCATCACAAATCAACCAACTCATCTCCATCTTTTCTCCAACACATGGTTGGCCCTGCTATCACTCTTTGTCACTTAGACGAGCTTTCCTTGGGCTTTCTTTCATGCGTTATGTCCTTCTTTCGACCTTTCTTATTGTTCATCTCTCCTCCGAGTCACTCTTCAATCTCGAATCAATCATCCATCTGCCAGTGGTTCCTGCCTTCTATCCAATGATCTCGCAGATTTTATGAGCGATCATTCATCCCATCCATCATCTCTCCAAGATCAAACCTTCTGGGCTGCCCCTTGGATGTGACGCTTCGCTTAAAATACATCTGTGTATCCGGTGTCTTTATCCGACTGTGCTCCTTTGTCCCTTGACTACGCTCGGTTATCGTCACCAGGGACTGCGTTTAAAAACTCTATGCCTGTCTATCGCAGATCAGAAGTGCTGAACGGCAGCTCGCCTTTGCAGAAATGGGCCGTACTCGCGATGCAGGCCTACACCACTCAGCTAAAAATAGATTCTTATCTCGGTATATCTGACCGTTCACGATTGGAACAATCAACAAGGGCGAACAGCTGTACTCAGTTTTCTTGTTATCCCTTCTTAACTTCTCGAAGATCCAAAGCCATCTCGACCGTCTAACAGTGCTGGCTATTAACCGTTTCTCCAAGCAAGTACCATAATTCACGTCAACGTTAATTGTTTACATTATCAAGCCTCCAAGATGCCTCTAAAATGACTGATACTTGATGTGATGACGTTCCATATGCACCCTTTCATCCTTACTTACTGTCTAATACACGCATCCTGCTTACATGACAAAAAAGTCAGATCTATTTACTACTTGCGTACCTAAGAGAATCTTCGTCAAAACGAACCGGCTCGGCTACCTGCAACCGCCTTTCTTCAAAAACTCTTTTGTCCTCATCATATTCCGAGCTCCGTCAGCACCACTGTCATCCAGCTAGCACATTCGCTTCCTCTCTTACCACACTGGACACTAGTATGCCACGTGGACTCAACGCTGGTGTTAGTTAACGTTTATACCGGCCGTGTTTTACGGTGCGGGTGCACGCGACATCACTCTTGCCAGCTTCTATTCCTCCTTCTCATCCCGCCGTTTAAACTCCAGCCAGCAATGTATTTCAATGCTCCCCCTCTCAGCTTTTTCTTTCTCTTCCTCCTCCTGCTCTCCTACGGTCCACATCAGCGAGAACGAGGGGAAAAGCTGGAATTGCAATATAAATATTGAAAAGCATCTGACACAATGCTAAAGAGACTCACGTGCCTCTCATTATTCGCGACTCTGCTTCCATTAATATCCCTTCCGTTACAATCTACTGCTCTCTGGCCCCTCCCGCGAAACTTCTCCTCAGGCGATTCTTCTCTCATCCTCACAAACGACTTTTCCATCGAGGTCTCCTTTGAGACTCCATCCGACCTCAAAGATGCCATCTCACGCACAATATCCTACCTACACAACGACAAGCTCCAGCCTCTCACCGTCGACCGCGGAGCCTCTCTCGTCGGAAATATCTCATCATCACCACATCTCTCATCCCTCCTACTCTCTCTTTCAGAAGGCAGCAACGTAAGCGCGATTAGCGAAGAGGCCGTAAAACTACCCAAAGAACGCGATGAATCATATATCTTGAGTATACCCTCCGAAGGAGGACAGGCAACCTTGACAGCGAACACGACGCTCGGGTTGTTCAGAGGATTGACTACGTTCAGTCAACTCTGGTATACTGTGGACAATACAACGTTTGCAATTGGTGCGCCTTGGGAGATTTATGATAGCCCGGCTTTCGTGAGTAGCTTTTCTATGTATGCTTCCTTTTCCTTTGCATAACTGAACAGTGTTTGTGTTTGTTTGTGTAGCCCTACAGAGGGTTCATGCTTGATACCGCTCGTAACTAGTAAATAACTTTCTAAATTTGGAATATCAGCATATATTCTGAATTTTTTTTCTTTTTGCCTAGCTTTCCGGTAGACGATATTAACCGCCTACTCGACACAATGAGCTGGGTGAAACTGAACCAGTTCCACTGGCACATCGTCGATTCGCAATCCTTCCCGCTCAAACTCCCCAACTTCCCAGAGATCGCCAATGCAGGCGCCTACTCGAACGATTCAATCTACACCGCTGAAGACGTATTGAAAGTCGTTACGTTCGCTGCTTCACGCGGTATTGACGTCCTCGTCGAGATCGATACTCCCGGCCACACATCCGCAATTGCATACTCCCACCCGGAACATGTAGCATGTGCGGGTAAGTCACCCTGGTTGACGTACGCTAACGAGCCGCCTGCGGGTCAACTGCGTATCGCTTCAGACGATACAGTGAACTTCACCGCGAGATTACTTTCGGACGTCGCGAAGTTATTCCCTTCGAGGTTGTTCAGCACGGGTGGGGATGAGATTAACGCGCAGTGTTACGAGGATGACGAAAAGACGCAGAAGAGCTTAAGTGGGAAGACAATCGAGCAAGCATTGGATGGGTTTACGAACGTGACACATGGAGCGATTAGAGAGCTTGGGAAGACGCCTGTTGTCTGGGAAGGTAAGCTTCATTCCCTTTCATCAGGTTGGATTACTTTCTCTGATATTCTTCTCGGTTTGTTCACAGAGATGATATTGCAACATAACGTGTCACTCGGAAACGACACCGTCGTCATGGTCTGGATCTCATCAGACAACGTCAAAGCCGTAGCAGAGAAAGGCTTCCAAATCGTACACGCTGCATCAGACTATTTCTACCTAGACTGCGGTGCAGGTGAATGGCTCGGTGCGGACCCGTCAGGGTACGTTCATGACATTATCTCTTTCTCCCTCTCATTCCTCTTCTCCCTATAGGAATTCGTGGTGCGACCCTTTCAAAACCTGGCAAAAAACCTACACTTTCGACCCATATGCCAACCTCACCTCCTCCCAACACTCTCTCATCCTCGGCGGGGAGTCGCTCCTCTGGACCGAACAATCCGGTCCAGAGAACATGGATACGATCATCTGGCCACGCGCAGCATCAGCTGCAGAGGTTTTCTGGACTGGGGATACCCTTCCAGGTGGGGTTAATAGAATGAGCTTGGAAGGTGTGCAGAGCGCGTTACCTCGACTACATGATTGGAGTTTCAGGGCGAGAGCTAGGGGCGTGAGGACAATTAGTCTGCAGCCGCTTTGGTGTGTGCTTAGGCCGGGCGTGTGTGATTTGACAGCATAAGTTAAGTTAAGGAGTAGGCTCAACTCGGTTGTCCGAGTGAGGAAGGGGGGGGGAGGAAGGTTGATGATGTTGTGGAACGGGAACTTGAACATTCACTCATCCCGAGGTAACAATATCTCTATATCAAACTCAGTTTCCTTAAAGTCCTCGTTTGTCAGTGCCTCCAAAAAGCTGGCCAATCATAATTCTTCTACCTTGACAGTAATCTTAGGCAGTACACTCCTGCCTCCCCCCAAGCAATCCTCCTTCTATCCTCCATTTAGGCAGAAGATCATAAGCAAAACACGAGCATTAATGTCAGCTATCTACCTGTCCAACTCCAAGTTCTGCAAATATGGTGCTGACAAGGAGTTCAAGACCGGTACGGGGTCCGCTTCGTCCACCCAGGTAATAACCGGCGTCTTCAAGTGTGGCAAAGTATAGTCCTCAGTACCAACTCCTGCATAGCCTAGTCTGAACATGAGATGATGTAGATTCTGGAATACTTTAGAATGTCCATTGCCTCCTCGTTCGTCAACCAGATTACCAGTACAGATCTCACCTACAGTAAAACTTCATCTGGAAGCTTCGACAACAGCTCTCCGATCCTCTGACTTGAGACATCCAACGTCATTTGTGTACCATTTACTGATTGGATGTCATTTTCCTTGGTGTATAATTTCTTCTTGTTCCCTATGTGATCCGAAATAGGTTTCAACAATAACATTCAGTGTCTTGGGTACTGTGCAATGAATACAATTAATTTGTAGCTACTATAACTTTGTCTACCACTTTCTTCAAACCACACAAGCAAAAGACAATTTGTATCTTGGAAAAAACTACTCAACTAAGTGTCTATTATCAAGGACCTTGCACATCAAAAGTAGAGACATATTTCTGGATATTCTCTTCTGCTGTACCACTCCAGCCCATGCCCTCCATCTGACAGGCTTTCCACGATGGCAACTCGCGCGTTGCCGCGAGAATGTCAGCAATAACGTTGTCGTTTAATGCTAGTGTGCGTCCGCCAGACGACCCACCACCAGTTGTCGTCGTTCCAGGCTGAAACAGCACCCGTGGTTGGCCAAACGCATTGCTTTCACCGTTGTGGGGAGGACTGTCACGATTGAAATAATTGTTGGACGTGTTGTCCATCAATACATCGTCCGATAGGATCCAGTCTTGCCAAGGAATGCCATCACCAATGTCTGGTTGAATGGGCCTAAAGGGATGGAACCCACGGACGCGCATCTCGTGGACGATGAATAGGGAAGGAAAGGGTGCATAGCGATCTCCCACATCGAGGGCAATGGCTTTACCGTGGTATTGTCGTAGAAACGCATCCTCAGAGTAGTTGACGAACACAAACTTCCGAATCTGTCTCTGGTGAATATTCGGTTCAGAGCAATGACGGAATAAACTCACATCGGGATAGAAGCGAATAAAGAAGCGATATGCATCAAAAGCCCTATGATGATGTATACACATATACAAGCCATTACGCGGCTCATGTTCTGGGTGTGCTTTGGCCTGTCGGGGAATCCACCCGTAGGTCTGGAGTTCGGACCACTATGCCTCACGTTAGCTTCACAGGAGAGGGAGAGGCGCGATCAGAAGTAAACTTCTACTTACAAGCTCCGGATCTGACCTCATTATAATATGGCAATGTTCAAGTAAATAGCTTTCTGGTATTCCACAGATGATGCAGCGATTCCGACCAAGAAACTTGTCCCTTCGGTTTATTCCTGTGTCAAATGCGGAAGTTGTAGACAAAATCGATATACTACGCTCTTCCCAGCCATACCCGGGTGGAGGGGCGCTTTGTGATAGAGGAAGAGGGAATATAAACAGAGGTGGCATGATGGCTGCTACACACAGAGAATTGTTAGTGTCAGGTGGCTCAAATGCGTACTGGATTACATAATGAATCTATTGTTTTCTTTTCATAAATTTAAAAAGTAACACAGGATGCAGACATAACACCCTTATCATCTGACAAACACTCAACATGCCTCTCATAAATATATAACCAGTTCAAATTATTGTCTAATGATTTGAATGTTGTGAACATGCTCGATAGATTAGCCAAATATATCCAAGACGGAGACAGTATAGATCAGTCAAGTTGATGATTCAAACAGTACTACAGTACATTGGTTGCTGTACGTTTACAAACGAGTGGGTTACAGTGGGTAAAGCTAGAAATCATCAACTTGCATAGATAGATGAACAGTATTACGGCATCACTGAGGCGGCTCAAAGCATTCCCGCCATCGTTTGCCTAGGACAGTATTGTAAAGTCCAATCTGGTTGAGAATGGGCAACTGAAGGCTGCAGTATCCATCCGTCTTCATCCAATGTCCAGTCAAAGACGGGATCTGTATTGAGTGAGAAAGCAAGAGACAGGACGTTAGTCATCGACTGCTGAGTGAGAGAGAAGCTGTCTTACCTTCTACATTCCATATTCTGATCGTACGCGTGTTATCCGGTGAGCTAGAGACGACGCGTCTTCCATCTGGCGAGAACACAACGGATGTAACCCTATCTGCATGCCCTTCAAAAGGCACGAAAATGGCCTGTCTACTCTTAACATCCCAGACTCGGATTGTCTCGTCATACGAACCCGAGACGACGCTTGCCCCTTCGGGAGAGAAGGCAACTGACCGAACACAGCTCGTATGTCCCTCGAAAGATCCAGCCGCGACCTGTCCGCTCTCAATGTTCCAGATCAAAATGGTCTTGTCACAAGAACCAGACACCACACGTGTACAGTCGGGCGAGAATGACACCGGCCAAACCCCACTCAGGGGCCCAGAGATGACTTCCCCACTTTCACTATCCCAGATTATGATTTTTTGCTCGCCACCAGAGGCAACGGGTCTCCCGTCAGGTGAGAAAGCAACGGACACAACTCGACTTTCATGCCCTCTGAAAGGACCTGAAATAGTCTGTCCGCTTTCGACATCCCAGATGACGTATGTCCATCGAAAGGTACTAGACGTCCACTTTCGGCGTCCCACACGCGGATCGTGTGATTTTCGGAGCCAGACGCGACATATCTTCCATCTGGCGAGAAGGCAACGGATAAAACATAGCCTGAGTGCCCTTTGAAGGGTCCAGAGACAGCGTTCCCACTTACAGCGTCCCAGATTCGAATCGTTGTATCATCAGAGCCAGAAGCAACAAGTCTCCCATTAGGCGAGAAACAAACAGAAGCGACTTCATTTGCAGGCCCTTCAAAATGCCCAGAATCGGTATGCACACACTCAGCGTCCCATGTTTGAATAATGCAGTCAGAGGAGCCTGACACAACGCGAAACAACCTGACCAGTTTCAACGTCCCATATTCGAACGGTATTGTCAGACGATGCGTTTCCCGTCGGGCGAGAAAGCGACAGAATGAACTTCACCATCGTGTCCTTTGAAAGGTGCCGATACACATTGTCCACTCTCAGCATCCCATATTCGAATCGTTCCGTCTTCCGAGCCTGAGGCAATACGTGTACCGTCACTGGAGACAGCGACTGACAGGACTCGTCCTACATGACCTTCGAGGGGTCCACAAATGGTTAGTCCACTCTCAATGTCCCAGATTCGAACAGTTGCGCCATCAGAACTAGAGACGATGTGTTTTCCGTTGGGAAAGAAAGCGACAGAGTTTACAGCGTCCGTATGCTCTTCGAAACGCTTGACAGCTTGTCCGCTCTCAATGTCCCAGACCATGATAGTCTTGTCAGTCGATCCAGAGGCGACATGCATCCCATCCAGCGAAAAGGCAACAGACGATACTGAGTCGGTATGTCCCTCAAGAGGCCCTGAAACGACCCGCCCATTCTCGATGTCCCAGATTCGAATTGTATTATCCTTGGATTCGGAACCAGCGCGTGCACCGCCGGGCGAGAAAGCGACAGAACATACGTTGTGTTCATGTCCTTCAAATGGCCCGGAAATGACTCGGCCGTTTTCAGCGTCTCATATAAGGATCGTATTATTGTCGGAGGCGGAGGTGACACGGATACCATCAGGTGAGAATGCAACGGAATTAACCCAGTCGGTATGACCAGTGTACACTTACAAGAGCGGGACCGCTGCTTCTCGCTTATTTAATCTATTCGAACATTAGATGTATCAGGCTTCAAGTAATGCCCTATAAGCTTTGACTCCATCAATGCAAACGGGAGGGAAGAGACATATATGAGGTGTCGATTGTAAAATGCTGGGCAAACACACAGTAATCGTTCTACGAGCGTCCCTGAGAAACGTTAGTATGTCTGCGTTATGCGACTGGTCGAAGAACAGGATGAGTTTCAATTCAATCAGTACAACCGCATACGTACCGAGACCCAGTCCATCGGATGAAGGAGTGCTGGGCTAGCAATATTAGCCTTTGCCAGAAGGCTCATCACCTCGAGCTAGTACGTAAGCGTATACTAAGGAAGTCCGACAACCTGTCCAACAACGCATGTGAGAATTGCGCGTCATGTAAGTGTTAGCACCAGAAGAGACAGGCATAGTCCAAATGCGGTGGAATGTTCGCCTCTATGCGATCCCGAAGATCGGGGATCTGATCGTTGGAGATGTACGACGACTTTACAAATGTTGAACCGAAGCATGTCCCTCATGATGTCGAAACATCGCGAAGCAATGAACGCTCTTTGTGCTTCGAGGCCAACAAACCATGGGTTGTTTTCGCGCTCTGGTGACAACAGGTAATCACGGAAAGATGCGTGGTAGAAATGAATAGGCTCGCCAGGAGTGAAGACAAGTATAGATTGTAAACGAGATACGATAAGCCTCGATGGCTCGTCGCTCGAAAACCCAAGCAGCTCGTCGATCGTATTGTCGAAAAACTGAGTTTTACTGAGAATGACGAGACCAAGCACTTGCGAAAAGCGAGTCTTAGATGAATCATCGTCGAATGAAATTCCCAAACTTGCAAGCACCGAGTCATAAAGTTGTCTAAGGCCAGAGAGATGCTGCGATTGAATAACTAGATGTTTTAGCTTCGGAGCCGGGTTGTCGCAGTCCACCAGTTTCACTGCTATCGATGCCCAGATGAACAAACCCCCTGCCGCTGAAGCAAGGCGATCCATTTTCAACTGCCAGTCAGCCAGAATTGACAACTTCCTAATCACGAATACGTTACGCATCACACACTTAAGATAGCGAAGCACGTCCTCCCTACAGCTATCCAAGCTGTGTTCCAGTTCGACACAACGGACACGGTCGGGTCAAGAGGACAGTGCTCGATCAATGTCCGGGTCCCTCCTGCTCGTAATCAGGAACCGGAAATGCCTCGGGAGCTCTCCATTAAGTTCCGCCTTATTTTCTCCGTGCCGCATTCGTCCAATGCATCGAGAACAATGACAATAGGTCCTCGCATAGCATCTTGAGACGAATTAAGAGGGACATGGAGCAGGTTCTCAAACTGAATAGCCGACATGGCCTGGCCAATATCACTATCCTGTTTAATGGCTGCAATCACGTTGGCTTCCACAGACGAGTCGAATGAGGCGAGCTTATAAGCGAGTGTTCGGATGACACAGCTAGGATCGCTCTTCCCGCGTTCAAAAAACAGATGCGCTCCAAGACGAGATATCCCACGGAAATATTCCGCAATAGTTGTGCTGACCAGATCCTGCCGCTCCATGCAGCCAAAACACATTCTGGTCCGAGCCTGATACGGCCCACTCTATCACCTGGTTCATGATTTCCGTCCGCGTTCCAGGAAGGCATTGGGGCCGATTAAACGTGTCTATCATGTCTGGATGCAGTCGGTGCTATAAAACTAATTGGATCGCTTCAACTTCATTCATCATATGCAGAGATGCGGCACTCATATAACGTACCAATTTCTGAAGACATCCTCTTTGAAACAAATGCTGTACAAATGACAGCACCCGACTCAATTGATTCTTTGAGTGCACGAAGGGACTGCATGAACTCGTCGGCTTTTCCATCCACGTCAATCTTAAACATTCGTCCTAGAACAATAAGGTGTCTATGTACGGCATGATGTAACGCTATACGCACCTATGAACGTATGACTTGCGTATTCCTTTATAAAGACAGCATTCATTCGTCTGTTTCAAAAGCTGGATAATTGTTGTCCCAAGGTACTGCGTCTTGTCGCGGAGAAAACCTGCATCTTGAACGAAGCTAAAGGCATCCTCCATGACATGCACAAGATCAATGACCTTCTTATCAACCTCGAATTGGCGACTGATGCTCTGAAAACAATGATCAGAAATGCCAGATAATGGACATCTGGCATACCTTATATAGCGTTGATACAACTTTCCATGTACAGTTGACGTACGGGTGAACCTAATACCTCTCATCAATCACGGACGCGAACCACAGAAGACAAGTCCTATATGGGATAGTTGGTCGATAATACCGACAAAGACGTCCAATTTCAAAATGAGCTTTCCAATAGACTGATATAGATCAGAGTACCCGGAAAGCTGGGTACCAAAGGCTTCCACGGCTGCAATGTTAGTCGAATCTGCGGCCGCTGCTAGAGCTGTAATTCCACTCCGTTGGACTGCTTGCTCTGCAGCATTGACGTTATGGCTAGTGCTCATAAGCGCGTCTACGGCCTCCAAATGTAAGTGAAGAGTCGCAGCAGCTTCTGTTGATGCCGATCTACGAGGCTTATTAAGATGCAGTTCTACTTCTATCGTAAGGTTGGGAAAACATAAACTCAACCAACTTGTCACATCAGTCACAGCACAGCCACATACTCCTTTTGGAAGGACCCTACGGCAAAAATTTCTAGATCAGAAAAAATTGACTTTGTTTTATCAGCTCTAGCAAGTTCAAAACTTATTCAGATACAATTATTAATGTCTAAAGTTAGTTTTTAAACAGTGATATAGTGTCTGTTCAACTTTCTAAGCATTTGGAAAATATTACTTTAAAAAATGCTGACAAATGTATTATTATTAATATTATTACATGACTTTTTGTATTATATAAGCGGCAAAAAACTGGGTCGAAAATTTTCAAGTAGTGCTCAAACTCATAGAAATGCAATTTTAGACCATTTTAACAAAAAAAGTTTTCTTAGGAAATAAAAAAATTTGTACTTAATATTTTTGAAAAATAAAAACATACATTTGTAGCTACAGATGTCCTCTACAATTCTATGTTGCCCAAATATTCATTTGAGGTTATTTAAGGAAGTTATTTCATCCATCATTGTATGGCCCAAAAGAGGCTAGTACTGCCGCGTCACAGTTGGTTGAGTTTATATTTTCCCAACCTTATCTGATTAGTGAATGGCAGCGTCGATGTCCATCAATTCCCATACCTTTGCCACCAGCGCAACCCTCCAACAAGGCACTAAGCTCAGCTTCAGCTTTCCTATGCATACGTCACTCAAGTGCGATCTCCGCATGATTCTGATATTGACATTTCCACTCTTGTCTGCAGATGGTCTATGGTCAAATAGTTAATCCGCATCCTGTGTTAAGGTAACCGGTTCGCTCACAACTCGAATGAAAGACGTTCATCCCACTTGAATGATAAGCTCTTCTTCTCGTTCGTCGTTTGTCTACTCTCACTACTGAGCTTGACGTAGACATAAAGACTCGGAAAATTTCCGCGGACATTTGGTCTGCATTTCACTTCGGAGGCGCAGACAACTGTAATGTGTCTCAGGTCAGTGTAATGTAGAAATAGTGCGTAAACAGTGGAGGAGAGCATACCTGAAGGAAAGATGGGTGGCTGTAGATCTAGAAGTCATGGAAGGAGCTGCCGAGGTTGGTCCATGATTGTCTTCAACTTATAGTTGCATAAAATGGGATTGAGGCATTGCAGCTCACTACACCTGATGCCCGATTCTTTTATGCTGGAGCCAGGAAGGAGATGAGCCAAGAGCCATGTGAGTCTCTTCAGCACAGTGCACATGACTGAAAATTCTGACATTACATAACTCAACCATGATGCTTCCCGAATCCCTTGCCGCCTAGTCCCGTACTACCAGAAATACCACTAGGAAAGGTCCAAAAACTGTAGCACAACAATAACAACGCCTCTGAATACAACCCAATAGAACTGCTATTTTCATCCATTCATACAATGTACTTTGTCCTACACTGTTACAATGCCTCGTCCTGCTTCACTACTACAACGCCCCAATCAGCTCTTCTCTTACTGTTCTTCCTCAAAGATGTATGATCATTGAGCGTCAATCTAGTTTCCATTCAATACCCAAAGGAGTCAATCATCAGGCATGTGGAGGACACATGTTCAATACTCTATTTATACCCACCTATCAACAATCGTGACGCTGGCTTAAAAGCAGAGGTCTATCGATAAACTGGATCAAATCGCCATGCAAACCCCCATGACCCCAACCCCTGCAGCTACTAGTCTTTCCTTGACAGGTATGGCATCTATTAGTTTTGCTTTGTTTCTGCTCTGTAATGACACCTTCTACAGTGATTCGTGCCTCCCAAATAAAATGGGTTTCTTCTCTCGTTCACAGCGAACGTCCAAATCTATACGTTCATATCAAATTCAATAACGTTAAGACACGAACACGGGCTGTCAAGCTGGACCTGTGCCCTCAATGGGACGAAACATTTTCATTCGATCAGTAAGCAAAGTATCTACTTCAACGAAGGGACCCTTTCCAATCGTACATCTGCAGACCGCCCGCAGGCGGAGGGACGAAATTTAGCATCCAAGTCATGCATAGTTCATCGTGGAAGGACAAATGCGTGGGAAAGATTGAAGTTGGGCTTGATGACTTATTACAGAGGTGTGCTGATGGCAAAGGTGCGTGAATTGGTCGATATCAACGATCCTATATTCTGATTAGACACCCAGAAACGGAGCTTCATCTCAAAATGTCTCGTAATTCGAAGTTGACAGAAACTACCGCCATCCTTCATTTACGTCTAAAGATTGTCGATACGATGTCAGGGGCTGGTCACAACGTCAATGCTGCAAGACAAGCGGTTCAACAGAGTGGAATCTCGTCTTCGGCAGCTACCACAGATACACCCGTCTCTACAACAACAATTGAGACCTTTGGTACCCATCTTTCTGGATACGCCGGTCTGTATCAGTCCGTTGAAAATCTCGTTTCGAAATTGGACGTCTTTGTCAGTGTTGTCGATAAACTTTCCCAGGTAAGATTTGCAATCCGTGCAGCGTGTTAATGATGAATGAAAAATATTAGGTTCACCCATACATCAACTTTACATGGCAAGTTGCATCAATGCTGTACAAGGTATGCTAAACGGCTGTCACTTGGAATTTCTGACCATTATTCTCAGAGCATCAGTCATCGATTCGAAGTTGACAAGAAAGTCGTTGAACTCGTGCGTGTCATGGAAGATGCCTTCAACTTCGTTCAGGATGCAGAATTCCTTCGCAATAAGACGCAATCTCTCAGGACAACCATTACCCAGCTTCTGAGGCAAACTAATGAATGTTGCCTTTTCATCAAGGAATATGCACGGGATTCATTTATAGGTGCGTCGAGAGTCATAAAATGCATGCAGGAGTCTCATTGCACACCAGGACGAATGATCAAGATAGACGTGGATGGAAAAGTTGATGAGTTCAAGCAGTCCCTGTGCCTGCTCAAGCAATCGATTGAGTCGGGTGTTATTATCCAAACTGCCTTTGTTTCATTAAGAATGTCTTCAGAAATCAATACCATATGTGCGTGCCGCATCTGTACACTTGATGAATGACACTGAAGCGGGCCACTCAGTTTTATCGGACCGACTACGTCCAGATAGGATGGACGCGTTTAGCAGGCCGCAATGCCTTCCTGGGACACGAACAGAAATCGTGCAGCAGATCGTGGAATGGACGTTATCGGACTCGGACCAGAATGTCTTCTGGTTATATGGTGCGGCAGGGTCTGGCAAGAGTACTGTCAGCACGACTATTGCGGAACACTTCCGTGGTATATCCCGACTCGGCGCTCATCTGTTTTTTGAACGTGGGCAGAGCGATCCGAGCAATGTCATCCGAACTCTCGTTTATAAGCTTGCTTCATTCGACTCAACCGTGGAAGATAATGTCATTGCCGCCATTAAGCGAGACAACAATATTGCAGAGGCCACGGCGGCGACCCAGTTTGAGAACCTTCTTCACAGTCCTCTTGTTTCTTCTAGAGACGCGATGCAAGGACCCGTTGTCATTGTCCTTGATGCACTAGATGAATGCGGTACGGAGAAGTCTAGGCAAAGCCTAATGCAAAGTTTCCGAAAAGGACTGCGATTGCTCCCGAAGAATTTCCGATTTCTCATCACGAGCAGAAGAGAATCAGACATTAATCAGGTCTTCTCTTCAGCAGAGAACATTTGTTCTGTCGGACTAGATCACACGTCGGGTACTTGCAAAGATGACGTGCTTCATTATCTTGACTATGAACTGCGAAACGTGTTTGCGGGTAAAGCGCTACGGATTCCTGATGACTGGCGGTATAGGATGGATCGTCTTACCGAAGCGTCAGAGAGCCTTTTTGTGTGGGCATCAACAGCTGTGAAGCTGGTGGATTGCGACAATCCGGCTCGGGCACTACAAGACCTAGTATCACACTCGTCGAGTCTTTCAGGCCTCGATCAACTGTACGAGTCTATTCTCTTAGGCTCTGGCATCAGATTCAACAGCGAAACTTCTAAGGAACGCTTTTCGCAAGTCCTTGGCCTCATACTCCTCAGCAGAATCCCACTTTCTGAAGATACGATTGACGGGCTCCTTGGATACTCAGTCGATGAGCCATCCCGGCTTATTTTATCACGTTTACAATCAGTGCTTGTATATACTCCAGCGGCACCCATTTACTTCTTCCATACTTCTTTCCGCGATTACTTGACATCGTCCTCGAGATGTAATGACGCTTGGTTTATTGATCTCGACATTCAGAAGAAACTGATTACTAAGCGGTGTTTCGACGTCATGAAGCGTATGCTCCGGTTCAACATTTGCAAGATCGAGTCATCGTACATCCGTAACGATCAAATTTTGGACCTCTCGGAACGCATCAAGGAGAAAATTCCTTCATACATGGAGTATGCATGTCTCTTCTGGGGCCAACACTTACACGAGGCACAATTCTCAGACGCGTTGTCGAGCGAGTTGTTAGAGTTCCTTCACAAACGATTTCTGTATTGGCTCGAGGTGATGAGCCTCTTGAAGAAGGCCAATACTGCTAGTCCAGCTCTCCTTCTTGCCATGAATTGGGTCTCGGTGAGTATGTATATGTACTATTGGAACCAGGATTAATTTATCCATCAACTAGTCATACGATGCACACATACTGGCGTTCCTCAGGGACGCACGAAGAATAATCACTGTATATTTTCCATGCATTTCACAATCGACATCCCATATCTACGTGTCATTCCTTCCGCTTGCATCGCTGGAGTCGAAGTTTATAGCGGACAATTACTTAAGGCCTAATCTACCTATTGTGCAGGTAGAGCACATAGGCATGAAGCAACGATCACCATTATTGAAGAAGATATATGTTTGGGGTAACATCCGTGCTCTTGCATT